AATCTGCTGATTGTGAAAAAGATTTGACCAAATGGGCTGCCCTACCTTAAGCCTTTTCTAAGCAACAGGTTGTCAGTAGACTTTTCTGAGCTCAGTACAGCAGTTATTAGATACAATAGTATTAGCATGCAGCATATTTTCCCTGCAAGTGGAAATCATAATATTGGTCTACCTTGAATCACCTTGAATGATTGAAGTATTCTATATATGTGCTAAGATTACTCATGCATGTAACACCTAACACCTTCTACAGTTTTTGCACTTGAAGTAAAAAATGACCCAAATTAATTAATAATGAGATTAGATACTATGGAATCTTAATTTCATATAGACTCTGCAGCACAGCACCTAATATTTCTCTCTTTTCCTAAGACTGACATTAGTTGCCAACTTCTGTGCTTAGATTCACATGTAAGTATAATTTTTCCATGACTTGGAATTGGAAGAAAGTATTTGCCAGTTTGTTTTCTGGCATGACAGCCCAGCCTAATTAATCTGTAATGTTTTTTTTTTTCTATGAGCAGAACAGGGCTTTAAGCATGAACATATATATGTACAATAGGGTTATACAAATCAGTGTTTAAGCTTCTTTTATAAAGCAACTTTAAAAAGAGAAGAAACAATGCAAGGACATGGTATTCTCAAGAATGGACAAAGATATCAAAGGAAGGGTTTTTTTTCCATAATCTTAATTCATGTAGGAGAGTGTTTGGATTGTTACAACACACAGGGAATGCAAGGACAATTCCCTTTCCCATTAGAAAATTCATTGAATATCCTCCCTCTCACATACAATTAAATAACAGAAGAACTTTCAGTGGGCCCATGAAGCATTTTTAAAAATATAATTGCCACATATACTTTGGGGGAAATCTCCCTGGAAATTCTTTTACTCATGTAGAAAATTATTGCCTATTAGTCTCAATGAAAGCTTTTTTGGGTTTTTTTTTTGTTTTTTTGGGAGGGGGGTGGTAGTAGCATGTAAAAACTGGATGGTTAAACATAACTTTATGAGCTTTAGTCATTACAGAAAATCATATTCACACCATGGAACATAACATGGGGTGGAGGGGAATAATTGGAACCAATGGACATTAATTCAAGCACAAGGAACTATGGCTCCTCAGCCAACAGTAGCCATGCTTGGAGGATGCCATTTCTTTTGCTCCCTTATAAAGAGAAGTTGGGGTTCCTTGGAATAGTTTACTGGTGTTAAGTGCATTGAAGTTGATGGCTACTCAGCAAACTCTGAATAAGAAACAGTGCTCGTCAGAAAAGTAGATTAAGTAATAAAAGAGTTTTCTAGACTGGGTGTGGATGTATTTCTAGCTGGTTTATTTAAAAACTCCATTTGCTATGGATCAGTGCAGAAGCAGCATCTTTGCATGACTGTCTGTTCTTTTTCCAGTCGTCTGACACTTAACTTTGTAGACTGCTTTCCTGACTTCCAACCTTTTACTAGTATTATGCCTTTGTTTTACTAAATGAACTGCTTTTCTGGTTTCTGCCCTCTTGTTAATCCCAACTTCATCATGCGCAATCACTTGAATGTCTGCTGCCTGTCTTCAACTGTATAGTTTGCTATTTACAGCTTTTGTGTGTGTCTCCTGCCCACTCTCCATTATGAGAGATGGCACAGAAAATGTGCAAATATTTTTGAGACAACGGAGTTAGTTTATGGAAAGAGAGAAGGGATAATTGGACACTGAAATATTCCTTTGAATGATTATTGTCAGATTCAAAGAGTAGTCAGATAACTTTTACAAATTTTAGGGATTTCAGATTTTTAGAGGCACAATCCTAGTTTTTCATGACAAGATGTAGTAATGTTATACAATGTTGGCTCATTACTTTTTTGCATATAACAAACTTCTTATAGTATAGCTTGATTCATGCAACCTGAAAAGTTGAATAAAATGAGATTGAATAGTTGGTTGGTCTATGTGAAATGAAGGAGGTCTTTTAGAAGAGAAGGTTGGGAAATGTTTGCACCTTAATCAGGAACTCCCAAGTTATTATTTTGCATTATGGAAAAGCTGCAGTTTGAGAAGTAGAAACTTGATTAAATTTTGGACCCAAGATTAATAAAAGGAACTACTAAGGAGAGAATGGAGAGTTCTGTAGTTTAAATTTATTGCAAAACTCATGGTTTTTTTGTTCAGTCACTAAGTCGTGTGTGAATCTTCACAATCCCATGGATCATAGCACACCAGGCCTCTGTGTTCTCCATGGTCTCCAGGAATTTGCCCAAATTCATGTTCATTGCATCAGTGACGCTATCTAACCATCTCATCCTCTGCCATCTTTTTCTCCTTTTGCCTTCAGCTTTTCCTGACATCAGGGTCTTTTTCAACGAGGCCTCTCTACTCATTAGATGGCCAAAGTATTTGAATTTCATCTTCAGTATCTGTCCTTCCAAAGAACAGTCAGGGTTGATTTCCTTTAGGATTTGACTGATTTTATCTCCTTGCAGTCCAAGGGACTCTCAAGAGTCTTCTCCAGCACCCCACTTTGAAAGCATCAATCAATTATTCGGCACTCAGCCTTCCTTATGCTCCAACTTTCAAGCCATACCTTACTACAGGGAAACAAAACTATAAGCAGGCAGACCACTCTTCTAATCCTATCTTTGTGATTTGAAATAGGTTTTAATAGATAGATTTCTGGCTGCCTCAAAATCTAGCTATAGAACTTATTTAGTTTGTATAAATCACTTTTTAAAAATTCAAAATGTCCAGGAGAGAAAAAAAAACTCCAAGCGCTTTCTTGGAATTTTCCCTCTTGATGCTGGCCTAATTCCATTCACCTCCAGGTTTCTGCTTGTGCCATCAGTTTCTGCTCCTCTTATTTTATAGCTGACTCCTGGATTTTGCATCTTGCCCTTTTTAAGCAAAGCAGCAAATACACAGTTAATACTATTGACACACTAATTCCTTCATTTGCGGCATACCCTTGGAAGGTTGGATCTGTTGAAAATTACTGTCAAGGTTAAGCAACGTTTTGCTGCTCTTTCTTTAAAATTATTTTCTCTTCCCCTTTCTCATTTTGTGGCAGTACATTGGATTTGTTTTTGTTTTTTTTGTTTAAAAAATAGCATGATTACCATAAACCTATTGGAGACATGCATTTAATTTCATGTTTCACCATCGTTTCACTTCATTGTTATCCAAAAAGTATTGACTGCTTACAGTCTGAGAAAACAAGTTCCAGTGGGAAGGAGGTCTTCCCTGTGGAAATAATACCATCATTTTCATCAGAGTTGAAGGGACCTTAGAGGTCTTCTAGTCCGACCCCTGCTGAAGCAGGAGATCCTATACCATTCCAGACAAGTGGCTGTCCAGTCTCTTCTTAAAAGCCTCCAGTGATGGAGCACCCACAACCCCTGAAGGCAAGCCTTTTCACTCGTTGGTTGCTGTCATTGTGAGGAAATTTCTAAATTGCTTCTCTCTTGATTACTTTCCATCCATTGTTTCTTGTTTTGCCTTCTGGTGCTTTGGAAAATTGGTTGACCACCCCCCTACACATTCAAATAAAAGAATATCCTTCCTGGGTCTCCCAGATCTCCAGACTAGAATTTCAAGGGGTACTTCATATTGTGGAATTTCCTGAATTTCTTGTTAAATTATCAATTCAGTCCCAAAATCTGATGTGAGAAACTATATATTAAATAAAGATTTAGTTTGGAGGATGGAGTTACATTGTTTTTGAATGTTATAATAATTTTGCTTCATAAAATACACATTGAATGCCCACACTACATTCTTGAAATTGAGGGTTGGGAATAATTTTTAAACACAGTGGAGAAGGTAGTAGTGTTTTATTCTACCAACTGACTGTTTTGAATAAGAGAACTGAAAGTGCAGCTTGAAGCTATTTTGCTAAATTTGAAGAAAGGTTCCATATCCCAATTAAAGATTCAGAATGGAAAATCACGGCAATAATTCTGAACAGTAATTCAGTGGAATTGGCAGGAAAACAGAGATGTTCACAGTATGCAACATTATTTTAGACTGTTTTCCTGACTCATGGACAGGTTTCATGCAAGACCCCAACTGCATTTCCCATGTCTATTCCACAGCTTTTACAGCATTCCATAAAATAAAGCAAAAGTTAAGATAGTTGTGTTTTTTATGATCTCAGAATCACAGAATTGGAAGAACATTGAAAACCATCCCCAATCCAGATGGCTTTCTATGTCATAATTACAGATGAAACTCTGTATTCTTTTCACTTTGCATAATTTCCCCAGATTAGTCTGTGAAAGTTAGTTGATCATATGCCACTAGAAGAAAGAAACTACAGCATGTGATTTGCCTGCAGAGAGTTCTTGCTTTTGAGCTAAATTACATACTGCAGAAGGAAGCTATCTTTAGAAGAACATTATCCAACCAGAGACCCCCTCCAGATGGGTTGGATTATAATTCCCAACAGCCATGCCACATGGCTATTGAATAATGGGAATGTTAATTCAGCACAGCTCAAAAGGCTGGGAATGCTGTAGAGGAGATTAGTTCCATTCCTACTAAATGGTCAATCAGATCCTCAGCATGAGCAAAAATCATTGGAATGAAATAATGCTGGATTCCCTTTCATGCAGCTCAACAGTTGGCTCTTTGTGAGAACATCGTCAATCCAACTGTTGTTCCAAGATCTTCCTGGCTCCTGCTTTTCCATATTTGTGGACCAATTTTTATGAGTTTCCTAATTACTGACCCTGCTTCAGTAATTCAAAGAAAAGGGATCTTCCATTTCTCTTTTTAAACAAGGACTGTCTCTGACTTTAAATGAATGCCCTTGTTTTTCCCTCCTTCCTAGACAGTGCCCCTCTGGTTTCTTTTCCTCTTTTTTCTTGGCATATTTCTAGTCTCTGACCTTATTGGCAAACATGATTTAAACATTTGTTATGCTTTCTCTACAGACTTTTTCTGGAACGGCTAAGTTGTACTCAAAAATGAAAGTAAATTCTCTTTGTCTCAAAAGTGTATTTTTCTACATTGTAGAAAAAACAGCTGATGATGATGTCCAGAAGTCTGATATCTCATCCAGCAGCCAAGGAGTGATTGAAAAGGAATCCCTTGGGCCTCTTCTTCTTGAGGTATGTGCTTAAGAAAAACAGCTGCTCCACGTAGTATTTCTAATGCAACTTTTTAAACATAGAGTTTTCCGTTAAATTTTGTTGGAAAGTAGAAAGGATATTAGCATAAGAAATTGTGGAACTTTTGTGTTGGGACTAATTACTAATTAGACTAAAAGAAAGATGTTGGGTAAATGGATTATAGGTACTGTAGTGCTCAACTTGCAATCATTCATTTAGTGGCTGGTTGAAATTACAACAGCACTGAAAAAAGTGACATATGACCGTTTTTTCACCCTTATGACCGTTGCAGCATCCACTTAACCCAGTGGTCACAAACAGATTTTTAATCCACATTCATTCTGTACCTATTATCACCTTAAAGTATTTCTTTTGCATTGGTTATTCACTTCTCTATTTCATGTAGCACTACATGACTGTAGCACCCAGTTCCCATTGCAACCAGTTATGTTTCTTCTGATTAGCAATATTAGTAAAGCTGCCATCCTATCCATGACTCCTTATAGGAACTCTGTAGCAACTTCTCCAATTCTGGAACCAATCATCAGACTCTTGTCTGATGCCCAACCCATTCCAGCTCAATCTTTCCTGGGGGATTTCTTTCTGCCTGTCTCCAAAGCTACCACTACTAACATTCCTGTGCCACCCTGAGAGAAAAAGCCACAAAGACTCATAGGATTTCTACTTTCTTTTCCTACAGTTCTTTTTTTTTTCCCTATTCTGTCCCACATTTAGCGCCTCTCTCAATCTTATGGCTTTCACTCATGCTTCCAAAGTTTTTTCATAAACAATAAAACAATTGTGGTTTTTAATCTCTTTTACATATAAAGAAAAGATTTGGCTTCATAACAAAGAGAGCTCTTTCAAATCAGGTTGTCTCCTGTCACCATTCTCAATCATTCTTGATCTCTAAATGTCCTAATAATTTTTTTTTCTATATTTCTGGTCTCATTTCTCTCATCCATTCATGTCACTTGGTTGAATAATCCTTTTCCTGTGTTGTGTTCATTCAGAACATTGCATAGTTTCCCCCCCCCAAAAAAAATTGTCTCTGCTTCTTTCATTTTCCCCATTTCCTGGGGCATAATATGTAACAATCGCTAACCTAGAAATTCCTGCTTTCATATACACTGACAGTACCCCAGATGATATTAGTGCATATTTTCTGATATGCTTTTCATCCCTTTCATTCATAAATAAAGCTACTTTCTGTGCATTTATTCATTAACCCTGCTCCACAAAATCAAGCCACATTCACTCTGAACAGATATATTTCTTCCACCGTTTCCTAATTTTTCAGTCCCACAAGGAATCTATTTTTCTTTATTTATTTTCATTCTGTCCATAAGCTTCACAATTTATTATTTTGATATTTCAGGTTTCAAAATTCTATATGCCATGTTTGAATTGGATGGTATTAATAAATAAATAAATAATAGGTCATTACTAGAATGGCTAACTGACCTTTGCTGCCCATCATAGCTCTGTTCATTTTACACTTTTTAAAATATGGAGAATGTGTAGGCTAAATTAGCAGTCAGTTATACCAATACTGCATTTCCTGGTAAAGGTAAGACCACATTCTGTCCACTCGCCACTTTCTAGGACAGGGGTGTCAAACTTGCATCATCACGGCATCATGACATGATGTATCGCAACTTTTTCCCCCTTTGCTAAAATGGGTGGGTGTGGCCAGCGCATGACGCATCTGACCCATGGGCCATGAGTTTGTCACCCCTGTTCTAGGAGGTGCATGCAATGTACCAACAAACCCTCAGGCTAACAAGTTTGGAAACAAAATTCACATCAAAGAAGGGGAGTCATCTCTTGGAAGAACTCAAGAGATTCTTTATTTTGATATTTCTTGTGATACACGTTCCTTACTCACCAATCACTTGTACCATGCATGTTTGAACTTTTACATTTAGCAGCAAAATTAGTCCCACTCCTAATATCTGGAAGTAGATTATTTATGATCAGTCTCAGGTTAGATAAGTGTCAGATGGGCCACGTTAACTAAGATTGATTTACATTCAATACTATTTTCAACTGTTTATTCACTTTTTTCCCTTTACCTGCTGTGTCCTGTATGATTTATTAATGTACCTTTCTCTTTCCCAAATACTTTTAAAAATCATATCACATTTAATTGTTATGATGAGACTGTTAGTGTCCTAAAACAGCTGAAAATTAAAGGGGGCGGAATTTTAATTCAGACAGGAACCTGTGAGCTGCACTTTCCACTCAAAAGCATGTAATGCAGAAACCTCTTGTTGCTTAGCAACAGACAACTGTGACTCAGTGAAACTGCAAGCCATGGGCTAATTTTGTTTGAGGGGGGAGGCTGTGGAGAGTGGATTGGCTTGGTTTGAAATTACTTCCTGTTTCCAGCAGCTAATATAGAAGGAACCACTCGTCCAGTACAAAATAAAGAGCCAGATAAATTACGTCTCCCTAGCAAAAGCAATACTAAAAAGGGAAACAAATGCTGATAGAAATGCCCAAAGTGTGTGGTTGGGTCTGGGCATATATTGTTTTGAAAGATGAAAGAGCAGTCCAAGCCTATATGACTCAGGCAGCACTTAGGCCAGGGGTGAAATGCTCCTGGTTCGGACTGGATGCCTGATCCGGTAGAGATGGCAGCGGGTGGTTCGGAGAACTGGTAGCAAAAATCCCTGCGCCCCCCTCCCCCCCCAATGCCCAGCTGAGCAGAGCGATTATCAGAGGCTGTTTTTTTTACTTTTAAAAGCATTTTTTCTACAACCTCTTCAACCAAAAAAATGTTTTTAAAAGTTAAAAAAAAAAAGCCTCTGATGATCGCGCGGCTCAGCTGGGATTGTCAGAGCCTTTTAAAAGCATTTTTTTCTGCAACCTCTTCGGCCGAGGAGGTTGTAGAAAAAATGCTTTTAAAAGTAAAAAAAAAAAGTTGGCCACGCCCACCCAGTCACATTACCCCCCCCCAACCAAGCCACACCCATAGAACCGGTAGTAACAAATTTTACATTTCACCACTGACTTAAGGCATCCCTCAACTATACCAAAGGGAAGTCACTCCATCCTGTTTAGGAAATATACAGCAATCAGAAATCTGCCATGCCTTGTGTTAGCTAGATTCTACTTTATTTCTTTCTGTTTCTTTCATTCTTATGAATTCAAAGGTGCTTCATCCTCATTAGCAGACTGTGCCCTTTGAGTGTTTCATCTTCATATAAGAATATTTTAGGCCAGGTGTCCTCAACCCCTGGGGTCACAGCCCATTACCGGGCCGTTCGGAACTAGGCTGCGGAAGTGGCAGGCAAGCCCCTGCAACTCACACAAATGGAGCTGCGTGTGTGCGCTTCCCCACCACTCGTGTAGAACCATCTCCTCTCCTCCCCCTCCCCCCCCCCAGGCTGGGCCACAAAGCCAGAAAGGTTGGGGAACTCTGTCTTAGGCCAGCCCAATTGAGAGCCTTCTGATTGTAAATGTCTGAAGAACAGATTTTTCTCTCTCAAGTTGGCTTTCTATAGAAAGGAAAGGAAAAAAAAGCCTCAGCTTGAAATCTAAAATGTGCAGAATCATTACCGAAAGGAATGATAATAGGAAGACAAATGTTAGTCAAATAATGAGGTAAATTATGGGATAAATTATCACCCACCATGGGAGTTGTCACCTGTGCAATCGGGTGGCTACTCCTGGAGCATTGATGCCAACAATTATTTCCTTTCTTTATATCAGCATTGTAAGAAAACATGCTGGTTAGGCAAGATATTCTGGCAGAGTCACCTTGGGCAGCAAAGAGCAGCACAAAGAAAGTGGTAGAGGGAGAGCCAGTTATGAAGTTTGGCAGATTTGATGGCAGAATAATCTAAAAATCTAGACTTCTTCTTCTGAAAAGTGGATGTGTCACTGTTCATGCAGTGTTCGACTAAAGTAATATGCATTTGCCCACATAGGAGTAAAGACGAGTATTTTTTATAAGTTGATTATATGTATTAAGCACGACTGCTGGGGCCTACAAGTATCATTGTTACTTGTATATTTCTGATACTTTACCCATGATGGTGCCCTGATCATCCATAACCCCAATTGTCAGCTCTTTGTTGTTCTAAAGACATGTAAAGATAGAAACACCTTTCTTAATGCCCTTTGTCATTGTTTTGGCCCCTGCAGGCACTGGATGGCTTTTTCTTTGTTGTGAACCGTGAAGGACGGATTGTGTTTGTGTCTGAGAATGTGACCAGCTACTTAGGCTATAACCAAGAGGAGCTTATGAACACCAGTGTCTACAGTATCTTGCATGTGGGAGATCATGCTGAATTTGTCAAGAATTTGCTGCCTAAGTCACTAGGTGAGCAGTGTGACTTTCTTGGCCTTCTCTCATTCTCTTTGCAAAGCTGCTACTGAATCAACGAAACACATCCGTATAATTTCAATATAAATTCATGTCAGGATACTAAGGATAACTTTTCTAGATAGTACTGAAGTAAGTGTGTAGAGAAAAGTAAGGCACTCTAAACCACAATAATTAACCAAAAACATTTTTATCAGAATATAAGGAATATTTTAAAAATCATGATGTAAAAAGGTAACTGATGAAAATTCCAGGTATCCTAAAACTGCTTCTTTATCTAGAGTTCTAACTGATATTTTTTGGTAATATTTGTGAAGAAAAACAAAAGGTTGAGTTTTTTAGCTTAAAGAAGTGATAATAGATGGCCTAGAACAAAATGACTATGTTATTCTTTTCTTTGCACATCAGATTCATAAAGCCACTTCATATAATACATTTTTAAGTGTTTGATTTTAGCTTAATATGTTGAATGTTTCTCAGAATGTGCAGTTGAGTTGAGTAGATGCAAGCTGCACTCAGGAGCAATAGCAGGTGGTTAGGAGATTAGGAAGCAGCTCTGTTTTGCAAACAAGATCCAATTTAATTTTGCCGGTGACATGCCATTCCAAATGCATATCATTCATTCTGCATTTAAGCTGATTTTTGAATAATATGCTAACTCACAAGCATCATTATGTAATTCTCAGTAAGAACTTCAGTTGACTACTCAACCAGAAACCATTTTTTTGCCAGTTTGAAAGCTAGAGAGCTAAAAATGTGAAATGCTTACTGAGTGTCAGCTTAGCCAGCAGACTAAACCAGTGACTGGAGGCACAAAGATGCTCTTTGGTCAGCTCGTCATTAATGTGGCACATTGAGTACATAGCCTGATTCAGTCAGAGAGCTGGCTGCTTACAAATCAATGTTTTGTTCAGAGAAGGTCAACTGCTTGCTGATGTTTAATCAACTTTGATGATAAAACCCCTCTTGCTTAACAAGGTTCTGTTTATCAAAGTTATGGCCTATTAGCTAAAGTTTTATTAGTTGACAAGTCACTAATTCAGTAAACTCTCATAGTTCTTATAACTGTCTTATTGGGTCAATGCAAGAGTGTGCTGAAGCTGCAAAGGTACATGTTACACTTCCATGGAGGGAAAGAGAAACCATCAATAACACACTGAGCACTTTATGGAAAACAAGTGAAGGTCAGCAATGATTTTATATGAATACAGAAAGCCAGAGAGAGAGAAATTCCCAGCTCTTACTGTATTACCCACTCTGCGGGTCTTCTTTGAAGGTTCAAAATATAGGTAGAAAATGAGAATAAAGTAGCATACAGATTTCTTGTTTTATAATCTGGAACCTTTCACTTGCTATAGTCCTCCTTGATCATGCATATATACTTGCATTTGTGCATCTATGAAGCACATATGTATATGTGTATGGTCACTGATTCAAATTTAATAGACCTGTCTGTGCAACCTTAATGATAGTTGAAACAAGTGCCAAATACAATAAGTTCAAAATCTAAAAGGGTCCCCCATCTAGAAAAGTGTTGCCAAAAAGGGCTAATACTCAGCAGGGACGTGCAAGAGTGAAAATTTGTATAATACTTTTCTTTGAGTCATTTGGAAGACAAAATAGTCCTTGAAGAAGAATCCTTTTGAAATTATAAATGTATTTTAGTGTTCTGCTCTCTTTTTTCATTCTATAGCTACCTTTCTTTTTTGGTTGAATTGCACAGTGAGAGGATCTCAATATGAGGATCTGCAATCTCAGTTCCTTGCATGTCCATGCAGTTGGATAAGATCTTAGTCAGAGATGGATATTTTTTTGGCTCATGTTTACATGCATCATCTAATAATATGTCATACCTGCATATGCACAATCATAAATACCAATTACATTTTACTGGGGAAGAGGATGCCCAAGATGGATCTTACTTGTACCATTTTCTATTACACTGCACATTTCTGCAGAATTTAAAGATTATTTACCTTCATCTATTAACTTTAAACTTTATTAGCTTTATTTTCCATCCTTATCCAGGAATCCAAGGTGGTTTCCCTTTATTTTATTTCACAACAAAAATGAAGTGAATCAGTCACCCAGGCAAATTCCATTGCTGAGGTGGGACTTAAGTTTGGGTCTATCAATGTTTCAATGCTACACCATACTGGCTATTTTAATGTCAAATTGGTGGAGTTTGCTTTAGATTTTAAGTAAACAATCAGATGCACCCTTTAACATATGCTGCAATTTTCAAAATCAGTTCTGCTAAACTAATGCTAGCATAGACCATTTTAATATTGATTTCAGTGTGGCTGGTATCAAATTTGCTTCAGTCAATATAAAATTGACTTAAGCTAATTTAATATAAGGTAGGTTTAAATCAATATTTCACTTAATCAGGTCTTAATTGATTTTAGCTTACTGCAGTGTAAATTTATGCATGGATAGAGTTCAATGTTTTATGAAATGTTACTGTTGCATTAAACACACATTCTCACATTCGCATACAGCTCAGCCAGTTTTCTATAGACAAATTAAAAACTTGTGTTTTTCTAGTACTTTCTGAGAAAATTATGCAAGTTGTACCTTATTCACACTGAACATGGATTTTTTTAAAAAAAATGTGAATATGGTTGCCAAGGAAACTGCTATGCTGAATGCAAATATGAGAGGTAACCATAGCAGAAAATTTCAGAAGTACCATCATTCTGTGAGTCGAATATATTTATTTATTTATTTATTTATTTATTTATTTATTTATTGTCATATTTATATGCTGCCCTTCTCCCGAGGGACTCGGGGCAGCTCACAGAATAAAACAATCCAACAATAAATAGAATTAAAATATTAAAATCTGATTTAAAAACCCCAAATCCCCCAAATTAAAATGCATGGCAGATCAGGGAATTTGCTGAAAGAGCCATGTCTTTAGGTCGACGCGGAAGGTGCGGAGGTTGGGGGCCATCCGGAGCCCAGTGGGTAAACCATTCCAGAGAGTCGGTGCGACCACAGAGAACGCCCTCATCCTGGGGGCCGCCAGCCGACATTGTCTGGCCGATGGGACCCGGAGGAGGGCAGTCCTATGTGAGCGCACTGGGCGGTGGGAGGCCGGTAGGAGGTAGTCCTGCAAGAATATATCCTTTGCATGTATATGTTTTCAATCAATAAAAGGATTTAGTGATGTATAGCTTGACCAAGAATGATGTTTGTGGCTGGAGGGATGTTTCTCCCCACCCCCCACCCCAAGATTGTCAATCTGTGAACCTCCTGGTGAAACTGTGATTTTTTTAGTTTCAATTTTTGGAGAGAGACTATTTATGCAAAATAGATCTGTTAAGATTGTGTTGACTTAGCACATTTATTTTTGAACTTTACTTCTGAAAGCCCCATTCCCAGCTATGCATTAGCGTTTGTTAGTCAATCATGGGGATTTTTTTCTATCAAGGAAGGAGAAGTTAGAGTTACCAGTGCACTTTTCACCTCCTGTAAAAAAAAAATCCCCCTGGATTCTTTCTCTTTGGAGGGTATCAAGGGTCACAAAAAGAAGGAGAAATAAGTCATGGAGTGGATGGTTCCTGACACCTACCATAAATGTTCTTAGAGATGGTGGGAGAAGTAAAGAGAATATGAGGACGAGCTTGTCCTCTTTGAGAAGGAAAGGGGGAAGTAGTATGTGGATCTTCTTGGCATCTACTTCATTTCCTCTGCAGTAATAAAGGTGCTGCACTAGTAGTCATAGGAAGGAAAGAACACAAGAAATTTTTGCACAGAGAACAAAAGAGGAGTGTTTGCTGTGGACAGAAATTTTTCCACATTTACATCCTGGTCCTTGTCATCTGAGTGCATGTCAGAGTATTTGGAATAGGTAATAGTGGTTTAAATGGTATATGGTTTATACCATAAATAAATAGAAATATTGGGGCTTTGACTCATTATATTTGACTAAGGGGCGTGCATAAGTGCACCAACGTGCCTACCATCCCTGTCCTAATATCCCCTATTTAAACTTTTATCTGTAATCTTATATATGCTTGACAAAATAAATAAATGAAATAAAATAATAAAATAATAATTTCTTATACTTATTGGCATTTGGGCAAAGCTGTAGTAATCTCAGTTTCCAAATTCTGGTTTCTGCACATTCATTTTTTCAAAACCCTTCAAGAAGCGTCTTTATTCTATCCCATGTGCATCTGCAGTTAATGGAGTCCCTTGGCCCCAAGAATCCACCCGACGCAATAGCCACACCTTCAACTGCAGGATGCTGATCCGTCCCCCAGATGAGCCAGGTGCAGAGAACCAAGAGGCCCGCCAGCGTTACGAGGTTATGCAATGCTTCACGGTGTCTCAGCCAAAACTGATCAAAGAAGAAGGTGAAGGTAAAGACTGCTAGATCTGGAGGTGGAAAAGGGCTAGTTCATGGTGCATCAGAAAGAGGGGGAAAGCCACAGATGATTTCCTTCTGTCCTTCCATAGGACATTGCAAGGGGATTGCAACTCCATAAAAGCCCATACTGTCTACAACATTTTATGCTGACTTAAGAGGAGAGGTGGTGATATCTGTAATTCAACATGTAAAATCCATAGATTTTACTGTACTATATACCTTCCAAATTTCACACTCAACTGACCAGCAAATTTAGTCCTCATGGGAAAGGAAAGGTTTCCAAAAGGTCCATCGCAGCCTTCTTGCTACTTACATTCACACCAGTCTGTTGCATTTGCATCACTCTTTGGGTGGGGAAGATTAGAAATATCTCCATATGTCCAGTCCTGGCAGAGGACTTAATCAATTGCATAAAAATAAAAATGTAGGTCTCTTTGAACTAGCTTGCTAAAGATGCTAAAACATAATCCTTCAGAGCTTAGTACAAAAGAAACTAATTTCCATCATTAAAGCTATTAGAGGTTTGGTCTAAGACTATTAAATCTTTGACATTGTTCAGACATAATTCATTTTGGTTTCTGTAGTACTGAAACACTGTATTCATGCTACTGGATTATGTTAAGTATCTTATTACAAAGAAATCAGCCAAAGTCAGAATGAATAGGTAGATATATATTACTTATTCAGTTGTCCTGCCTCTTCGGTGGATTTTGATATTGTACTGATTTTTGATATTCCCAAGTCTGTAATGTTAATGCGGTAATAAACTAGTATTCTGAAATGGTAACAGCAGCACTCTGATGATGAAGTCACTCTCCCCAAAATGAATTAGGTAAAGTGATATCTCAGTTGAAAGTTAAAACAGATGAAAGGGAGGTAGGTTAATGATACCCTTCATTTATCCAATCGGTGAAGCTGGAGTGTTCTCCTGATTATTTTCCAGTAACAAGCTTGTCTCCTCTCTGAGTGGTCTGTAGTTGTTTCCAGGAATACATATATATTCTAATATATGTATATATATATATATACAGTGGTTACTGAAATCCCCCACCATTGCGCTGGGTGGGTATCTGCCTGGATTCCAAATGCATAATTTAGCAGATATGGATTCTGAATTGGGATCTTGATCTTGATCTGCACTGTTCCTCAGACGCATCATGCCAACAAGACTTTCCAGCAGAACACTTCAGGCTTATTCCTCCGTAACGGCCATTTCGTTCCAGTGCATTAGCTGAATTAATCCATTGCAGCTTTCACAGGAGATCATGACTGGAAGAAATAAATCACAGAGGGGTTTATGAGCACATACTTTGCCCAGAGCTGATAATTGTTGGCTTCCGCAAGTGCCTTTTATTTTGCAGTGTTGCCAGAACCAAATGGCCTTAAAATTAATTCTCCCAAACAGTGTGGAACGAACACACGCATACACATGGGAGTATGCCAGTCCTTTTCTCTTGCAAGCAAATTTTTAACCTTTCCCAAGCTGGCACCCTCGAGATATATTGGGCTATCATTCCCATTTCCCTGGTGAAGACTGCCAATATCTGCAGGATGGTGGGAATTCCAGCTCAATCTGGAGGGCTTCACTTTAGAGGGGTGTTGGTTTATAGGATCTTGTTACTGTGAAGAACAATGCTGCTGCTCATGCAAAATGAAAAAAATAAGATTTAGTTTAGCCATGGCTCCATTGATGATTCCTAAACGGTAGTTGGAGAGGGACTACTTCATTCTTCACGAAATGAAAACAGATAAGCAATTCAGTTGCGCTGTTGCAGTCTTATCCTATACCTGAAATGAGAGAAGTCTATCCCATCAGTTTCCCTTTTGTGAGGCCATTCTCTTGCATTCTCTTATCCCTTCTCTAATTCCCCCTCCCTCCAAGTCCTCTTCCCTTATGCTGCAATTTCCCTAGTTTATTTGCTCAGGTCTTGCTTTTGTTGCTCACCCTAAAGCTCAGATTGAACCACTGTCTCAGTATTCCATTTTGTTTGAGCTAGAGAAACCTCATTTATAAAGTAAATCTAAGGAGAACCTGTGATATCTTTAGTGGAGGCCTTCCTCTTGTACATGGCCTCTTTGCACATACAATGTATAGACGATGGAGGGAGGGAGCAAGGCTCTACTGATTGTGCAAGATATGGGAAGGGAGGAGGGAGACAGTGTGGAAGAAGTAAATGAAAAATAAAAAGAGGTGGCATAGGAATTTAAATTAGTAACCTTCAATCTTTTTTTTTTCTCTATTCACAACAGATTTGCAGTCCTGCCTAATATGCATTGCACGAAGATTACCTCGATCTACAGCTCCCACCACATCAGAATCTTTCATGACCAAGCAAGATACTACAGGTATCTTTCAGAAAAATAAGTAGATAATTGCTTCTGCAAGGCTTTGGAAATCATAGGGTATTTTATCGGACTGCAGTTTTGGTATAACTGAAAGGTCCACTTGCTTCGCCATCTTGGTCTCCAAAATAGAGAAGATTCCATGAACATCTCTTAGTTGTTCCTTTTAGTGCCTAGGGTTCCGCTCAACATTTATTGAGGAAGACAAGCGCTACATGGGGATGAGTAACAATGAAAACAGCAGGTTTTTCCACCCCTTGAACTTGGGATTCTTTTGTTTTTTAAACTATGTTGAGCCAGTTTTGCAGCTTACACTACTGTTTTTAGCTATTAGCACCTCAAAATTATGGGGAAAATGTGTCTAATGCTGGTAGTAGTATTTTTTAAAAAGGTTCCAAAGCTTTAAGTTGCCAATCCCTGCTCCATAGTTTCATTTAAAAAAATGTAGAGCCAGTGCAAATGGGCAGGGGATGGGAAAAGACAAATCTGCAGTCCTCCATGGATGTGAAATAAGTTACTGAGTAACTTTAACATTTTAACATTATTCATTTTATATCTCTACTGTTCTTCCATCCACTTAAGTAAAAGTCGGCCTTGCCACCTTGTAATGCATATGATTGTGAGTTATGAAGATAGGAGAGGCAAGAATGTCAGTCATTTAAATAGTGAAATGGGCAGTGTATAAATCTGATGAATAAATAAATAAGAACAGCATTTTTGTCACTTACCTACTGCCTCAACCCAAATGGACTCTAAGTAATAAGAGTTAAATATAAGCCTGTTTAGTTCTACATATGTAGATTTTGCCATTTGGACTCATCAATTGCAGACCAGGAATTAAAGGAGTTATAGTTGGTGATTTCATATATGTAAGAGAGAAAAATAGCATTTCAAAGACTTTGCAGAACTAATTTAGAAATAATGAAAGGCAATAGACATCTTTTATGAGAGCAGGAGATATTTGGATAGTTCACATGATGGTTTTATTAGAAGAAAGCCTATTTACGTAAGTGGCAGTCATAAACAAGGTTATAAGTGGCAGTTTCATTTATCTATCATGTTTCTTTAGGTGTGTGTACCTTTTACACTTCTAAAAACAGAGCATTCAAGGCAGCTTAAACAATTTTTAAATAATGAAAAATTAACAGCTGAAACATAAATAGCAGGCTGAGGAACTGAGTGAAGTTTATAGCTGATGGACAAGTGTAGAAGGTGCAATATATATTGAATATATTCTTGTACTGCTCTGCTTTAGATTCCTAGGTCTAATGTCTTTGTTTTCATTCCACTCCACACAGGTAAAATCATCTCCATTGACACCAGTTCCTTGAGAGCAGCAGGCCGGACTGGCTGGGAGGATTTAGTGAGAAAATGCATCTATGCTTTCTTCCAGCCTCAGGGCAGGGAACCGTCTTATGCCAAGCAGCTATTTCAGGAAGGTAAGGCTTCTGTGTTTGAACACACCTTCGTGTTTGTTGGATGAGGACTTTTCAGAGTGAAAATACAGTTGTTAAAAAATGAAGGCGGCACATAATGCTGCCAAAGGAAATGGCTGAGTAGTGGCAGGAAAGATTGCTGGTCGTTCAGAGGAAAGTAGAATTGCTTTGAACTACTAGCTACCTTTCTCTGAACTACTAGCTACTGAACTACTAGCTATCTTTACATTCTTATAGAAATCTGTTCTACAAGACCACTGGACCAGAGGTGGTATTCAGCAGGTTCTGACCAGTTCTGAAGAACCGGTAGCAGAAATTTTGAGAAGTTCGAAGAATTGATAAATACCACCTCAGACTGGCCCACCCAGGGGTGGGTTCTACTTAACTTTACTACGGGGCCGCGCGCACACGCGAGCAAAGCATGCGCAGAAGCGTTCTGATGACGTGGGGGTCGGTGGGCGAAGCCTCCCTCTGGTTTTACTACTGGTTCTATAGAACCGGTCCGAACTGGGGGCAACCCATCACTGGCCTCACCCCCATCTATTCTCTGCCTCCCAAGTCCCAGCTGATCAGGAGGAAATGGGGATTTTGCAGTAACCTTCCCCTGGAGTGGGGAGGGAATGGAGATTTTACAGTATCCTTCCCCTGCCACACCCACCAAGCCACGCCACGCCCACCAAGCCATGCCCACAGAACCGGTAGTAAAAAAAATTGGATCCCACCACTGCACTGCACCCAAGCGTTGGGATGGTGTGCTAACCCAAAGGCTTTTTTGTCAGGAAGCAAACTAAACTAAACTAAACTAAAGCAAACAGGCCAAGTTATCCAAAGCTTGGCTGTTTCATTGGCCCCAAAGGGGACAGAAATATTCCAAATCTCTGCAACTTGCATCTTTTTACGTAGAATTGGTGTGCTAGCTTGAATCTTGGATTAGATCAGGGAAGATAAGTTCTGACTCCCAATCAGCCAGTAAAGCTCCTTTGGGGAAAGCCTGTCTAACAATTCTCAAACATTAGCTTGACAGAAGAGAAAGGGGCAGGCAGAGCCTCCCAGAAAATTTTAGATAAAATGTCAGTAGGTGATGAGCATTCTTGGCTTTTATTTAAGTAATTTTCCTAAGTGCTAATGTACAGTGTAAAGATGTTTATCATTTTACAACACCCTTGAAGCATGGATCAGTAAAATTGTATCTCCTTATAAAATGGGGCTGAAAGAATTATTTCTCTGCTAAAAGGATTAAATTGTTTATGAAAATCCCAGGAGGTTTTTGACATGTTAATTTCCATAGGACTTTCAGATGGAGATGGTTGATAATTTCTCATTGAAACAGGGCTGTGCAACTTTGAGGGGAGGGGGTTGGTGCTACAGTGATCTTGAGGTGGGTGGGGGGGCACAACTTCATAAAATGGGTGAAGGTTGTTTAAAGATCCATGCATTAAGAAATTTGGGAGGGAGAAAAATTAAAACCTCTCTTTATCTCTAGAGATATTTGTGAATAGAGTAGAGTAGAGTAGAGTAGAGTAGAGTAGAGTAGAGTAGAGTAGAGTAGAGTAGAGTAGAGTAGAGTAGGAGTAGAACAGAACAGAACAGAACAGAACAGAACAGAACAGAACAGAAATCTTTATTGGCCAAGTGTGATTGGACACACAAAGAATTTATCTCTGGTGATAAGCTCTCAGTGTACACCAGTGACAAATTCCTTGTGTATCCAATCAGATTTAGCCAATAAAGAATTCTATGGCATTTTGTTCAAATTCCTGTTCATCTTGAAAATTTACTGTTTCAGTTTCATTTCCTCGTTTTATAAAATGAGAGTTGAAAGTCAGCAAGTTCAGAATTGTAATATAAGGACACATAAAATACTAAACTATAGTTAAGCTTTATGTAGCAGAAAAGAAAATCCTACAATTCATAGCAGCGAAGTGCACTTTTTCTTCATTTTTTTAGGCCTCTGAGGGCTGTAGGTTGCATGCTGGTGATGCAGCAAGATCATTGAATGGGCACAGTTGGACTTTTCAACCCATTGCTTTCAGATTTTTCAGGGCTTGAATTTTTTTTTTACATACATAGGTACATACCCATCCTACTGTTTTTGTTGTTTTTTTTGGGGGGGGGGGGTAAACAGTGTTAGGCAGAGTGCATAAAAGAAGTGAGAAATAGTATACGAAATAAGCATGAGATTAGGACAAGAAAACAAATAATTTAATTTAATTTAATTTAAATATAACTGTATTTTGTTTATACCCAACTATTTACTGTTCTTCTTCATAACTTTCTACCCTGACACACCACCCTTCATTCATATATTGCTTTAAAAAATGTCTTTGTTCTTTATATCTTTTTTAAAGGATCTCCTGAACTCTTTCAAACCATGGCTTTTGTAGTTTTCTCCTTCCCCTCGACTCATTCATTCTTCATATATTTATTTACTACTGACTCCTCATTACTTTTCTTTATATGACCAAACAATCTTAATTTATTTCAATATTGGTCACTCCCTTTTGTATTCTGACCATGTTCATTGAGCACTCATTCATCTTGGAACCTCTTTCTTGTTTTACCACACATACTCTTTCAAGTATCATATTCCTACTGAATTCAATATTTACGTTTCTTCTGATATGTCTCACTTCTGTATAACACACAGTGGGAAGCATGCTCTTATACACAATCATTTTCATTTCTTTCTCCAAACATTTACTCCTCTCATAAACATCTTATGATCCTTACGATTTATATTGACTGTTTCCTAATATGATTTGATTGCTTATTTGTTCCCTATGACTATCATTAAGTGTTGTACCTTATGATTCTTGACTAATGTATCTTTTCTTTTATGTACTCTGAGAGCATATGCATCAAGTCAAATTCCTTGTGTGTCCAATCACACTTGGACAATAAAGAAGTCTATTCTATTCTATTCTATTCTATTTTTATCAGCATTTGCATATCTTAAATGTCTCTGTGTCTCATTCAGCAGTCCCTGCTAATAGCAAGGACAGTATTGGTCAGTCTGGGCACATTTTGGCTTAGTATGCCACAGGTGTGACTAAAGGCCATCTTTGTTCCAGCAAGCTCACACTATTCTATGCAAGATAGGATCTCTAAAAGAGAACGCTTTAGGCCAGAACACCATTACTTGCTCCTTGCAATTTAGAAGGTACATTCAGTGTGTAAGGTGCTTGATTTAAAAAAAAAAGTATTGACTCTATTGACAGCTAAAAGCATGATTCTTTTTTTGAAAACCTAAATGATATTGCTATCAAAAATGGGAATTTGCTGTTGAATTTTTGAGACAAGGTTTTTGTGTGTTCCAGGGGTTTCATCAGAAGGGCATGTGGTATGTACATCGCTTGTGGATTGCCTACCTCTGCTACTTCACAAATATTGCTAGCAACACAGGAGGCAAATCATCCTAACCCTTAAGATACCTTTTCTTTCCTCCCCCTCCCCTTTCTGTTTCTGCTCAGTGATGACACGGGGCACGGCCTTCAGCCCATCTTACCGATTCACACTTAGTGATGGGACTGTGCTAAGTGCTCATACCAAGTGCAAACTTTGCTGCCCTCAAAGTCCAGAAATGCACCCCTTCATCATGGGCATTCATATAATTGAAAGGTAAGTCCTGAAAATTCCCAGGGTTCACTGGGTGTGCCATTGCCTCTATTTCTCTCTCCACCCGTCTCTCCTAGACAGCAAGCTTCTTTGGGAAGGATTCAGTCTCTTCCTGTGTAAGTGTACAATTCAACATATATACAGAATGCATTTTGAAAAGTTATACTACTTAATACGTCTCTTTGCATGTCATAGTTCTCTCGTATATCCCTTAATAAGAAATAACATATTTACCACAGGGTGGGAAAGGTGGTGGAAGCAAAAGGTTCTTGTGCTGTGTAATCTGCAGACTGAGCTGCCTTCTTTGTATGTTGCAAGGATGTTAGACGTACAAATGAAGGGGAAAAGCCAAGCTTTTTTTTTTTTTTTGGCTTTCTGCCTCTTGAAGCTGGTTTGAACCTGACCCTTGAGATTATCCATGAGCTAGCAGCTTCACTGGACAGGGCAAAGATATCTTAATCAGGATTATCTAATCTCAAGAGAGCCATGTCTTCAAAGAGTAATGGAAAGAAACAGATGCCAAATCTTTCATTGGCATCTTCTCTTTCTCTCCCTTCTCCTTCTCTCAGGCTTAAGTAATACTTTCTTAGTTTACTTCTCTTTCTCATTGGAGATGGGGGAAGGGGGCATACTCTGGTCGCATAGCAAGAGAATGCACTGAGGAATACGTCATGAAATAGTCTGTTCAAACAAGCTGTTGCTTCTTTTGCAACACCTTCAAACTAGCAGCATGTAAGGCAGAATAGAAACAAACTGCAAAGTGTCCAAAATGAAGAAAACCTACCAGCAGAACTTCCAGCATGTTTATTCTACATAGCTTCATTTTTGATAAGCAGTCTTCGGTGTGTGTGTGTGTGTGTGTGTGTGTGTGTGTGTGTGTGTGTGTGTGTATTTGAGCAATATATATATATATGTGTGTGTGTATTTGAGCAATATGTGTGTGTGTGTATGTGTGTGTGTGTATGCTTTTAGTTTTTATTGATATGAGTGCTTCTGCATGGAAGGCTTGCAAACATCAACAGTGAAAAAATACTGTGTGCCTATGCTGTCCTTTCCGCTATAATATCATGTGAATGCAAAACCAAGACAGGCAAGGGAAGGTATGAAAAAGCATGAGAAAGATGATTATGTATAAGAGAATCTATAAAATTTGATAATTAAAACTAGATGATTACAAAGAACAATCTTTGTCTAGAACACACTGAGCCTAAAAAAAATAGGTAGTCGCACTTATGGAAGCCACATCTGTGAACCCTTTTTCAACTCTCCTCTATCTGAGAAGTTGCAGTGTATGAACAAGCCTTTTATAAATTTTGAGAGTGATTTTGCATCCCTTTAAGTAGAAGAGAAACCATAAGGATATTGAACCTAGGGGTATTTGTGTAAATTAGTCAACAGCTGGTCTTCTTCCTATCTCATCATCCCTAAGTTGAAAAAAGAAACTGAATGGAGGTGGTGAGACTAGCAGCAGCAGTCTCTGGGCTTTCTGTAGCAAGAGAGAACTGTGATCTGAGGATACGGCCAATGGCAGTGATAGTGTCAGCTGGAGATGGAGTGCTGTGAGAGGAAGAGTGGGATCACTGCTTCTGCCTGCTGCAGAAGAGACAACTTGCACAACTTGCCATGACCAACTCACCACAGCCAACTCGCTGTGGGACAAAAGTTACACTAATATCGAAGAAATTGTGGAATAAAATCATTAAACAAATGATGCAAAAAAGGAGGAGAAAATGAAATGTGAATGGCAAAAATTAAAATGTATTTTTTAATTATTTTAAATAATTAAATTGAATTGTTGAATTGTCCCATGGCGAATTGTCCTGCAGTGAGTTGGCCATGGTGAGTTGGCTGTGGCAAGTTGTCCCATTCCGGAAAAGGCTGTGACAGGTCTCACAATTGCAGCTGCTGGAGGAGAGTTGCAGGAGAAAGGGGGCAAAGATGAAGGCGGTGTTGGGTGCCAAGGCAGCAACCACAACAGCATTGGAGACTGCAGGCCAACAGGTTCTGCTGAGATCCACCCCTTCTTTAACATTTGACTTGGCCAAGTGTTAGCAGGACAGTAAATCTGTGTGGGCATCCTATCTCACTGGATGGATTTTGTAGTGGGGGGGGAATTAACATCTGGCTTGTGTGATTTGAAACAGACTGGCTAGACCAGGGGTCGGCAACCTTAAACACTCAAAGAGCCATTTGGACCTGTTTCCCACAGAAAAGAAAACACTGGGAGCCACAAAAACCTTTTGACATCTAAAATGAAGATAACACTGCATAGATCGTTTTTTACCTTTATGCTATGTATAAAAAAAAACAATAGTGTGTTGCATTTATGTAATCGATAAACTGCTACAGAGAAAACAAATTTTTATTTCTGCATGCAACAAAAACATTTTGAACTCTGAAAAAAAAAGAAGGGTCGAAAAGCTCAATAAATTGCGTGCCGGTAGGTGTCACACATTGGCAGTTGTGATACATCTTTTGAGTGACAGGGAGCCACAGCAGAGGGATGAAAGAGCCACATGTGGCTCCAGAACTGCGGGTTGCAGACCCCTGGGCTAGACTATACTTCTGGTTAAACGTCTGAGAAAGCTGGCTTGAAGAATATTTTACTGCACTCTCTGCTTTCAGTTTTCCCAGAAAAATCACAAAGGAAAGATCAGGCATTGGGCTTCCTGATAATCACTGATAGGAACAGCCAATTGAATTTATGAAATTTTAACAGTGATTTGTGCTTGCTTGTTGCTTGCTAGTCAGCCATGGAGCTTTTTTCAGGTTCATTGTCTGCCTTAAGGGAGTGTCTGCACCAGCCTCCCCCCCCCATCCCCCAAAATGATTGCATAAGAAGGAGATCCAAACCATGAAATATTTCCTGCGTTCATTCTTAGTGCTTTACTTTCAAATTCTGATATGGAAAGGTTATTACTCTGTAGAAACCTTGTAGAAGTACAAGTGCAAACAATTACAAAAACTTATACAATTGTATATAACACAAACCTTCCGGATCTAGGATTAAGATCTGCCAGGCCATTTTTCTGCCCAGTTCTGACATTAGTTCAATCTTTTTCAACTTGCTGCATATTTTCCTTTATTTTGTTAAGATGAATTTGCACATTGACACGTTCTTAATTGCCTTCACATGCTGCTAATTTGATATACTAATTTCTTTTTATGCAATTATTTGACCTAGCTAGTTTACATCCTTGAAAAATAATTACCCCCAGAGCTATTTGAAGGACTGCAGGACCCAGATGCATGTTATTTAATGGAGAGGGAGCTACAGTTTGTCGATGGAAGGTTGCAACTCAAAGAATGGCCATTATTTTATGGCTGGGAGTCAAAGCTGACATGAACAGTTTTGGCAGGGTGAGAGGAATTGGATGTCAATGAAACCTACCAAGAATCGTTCTGGCTTTGATACCATCCTGAATAGAAGTCGAGACCTGAATGTTTTGAAGGCTTTCCTTCGCTTTTTGAGGAACAGGATAATGAATAAGTGGGAGGTTTATGTTTGGGCTTTTGATTCCTGAATTGGAGCCCTTTTGGAATATTTCTCATGGTAGCCAGGCCCATGCATAAAAAAAATACATATATAATAGTAGCCATTTTTTATTTCATCTCTCAAAAGAAGTCAGCAAAACTTTACTTTTCCTTCCTACACACAAACGCACACACACAAACTATGTATGTATGCTCTGTGTGTGTGTCTGTGTACACACACTGCATATATGTATGTATATATGTATATAAATAAAATCTTTCTCAGGTACACAGCATTTTTGCACTCCCTCCTCTGAAAGGACACAGCAGAAACTAATCAAGTTCTTCTGACATGGGTGGGGGATTGTATTTCCTTTTTCCACCAACTGCATTTTTTTTTCTTGATCCAGAGAACACAGTGCCCTGTCGCCTCAAGAGAACACTAATTCTGGAATGCCTCTTTCCCGTGTCAGTCCCTCACTGAACCCCAGCATCTCTCCAGGACAGGGTGTACCCCTGCCAACATCTCTCCCTCCCTCCAATGGTAGCATGTTAACAACCAACACAAACCACCCATCAGGATCCAGCCTGCACGGCAATAGCAACGCTCCTACCACCCAAACCAATTATGGATGTTCACCTGGAAGCCAGATGGGAGCTAATGTTGCCTTAAGCCAGGGACAAGCTGGTCCTCCGAACAGTACCCATGCTATAAACATCAGTAGCTCTCCAATGAACAGTCCTGGGGTCACCCCGCCACAGTTTATGTCTCCGAGACATCGAGTAAGCCCTGGACTTGTGCATCGGCCCAGAATGCCAAGCAACCCATTCTCTCCTACTATGCCCCACACACACTCCCCAGTGGGCATGGTGGGCAGTTGCGGTGGCAGCAGTGCTGTCAGCAACAGGCCATATCCAGGCACCCCATTAAACTCCATGCAGGGTTTGACTGATGGGCCTAGCCCTCCAGTGGGCTACTCCACACCCCCTCCTGTCCTGCGTCAGTTGAGCAATCAGAACTCCCCCAGCAGAATGAACATGCCACCCGTGAAAACAGAGCCAAAAGACAGCAAGGAGATGTCGTCCATTCTTTGCAGCATGACCCACTCTGACAACAGCTCCAATGACAGCAAGCCCTTGGATTCTAGCTTGCTGCATGGCAGTGACAGACTCTCAGAGGGTGACAGCAAGTGTTTGCAGGCGACCAGCCACAAACTAGTCCAGCTCTTGGCTTCCACAGCCCAAGAGCAGTTACGGCACGTGGATGCAGATACCAGTTGCAAAGAGCCCTTGTCTTGTACGGGCGCATCAGGGACCCCAGCTTCTGGGAACCCTGTGGGCAGTGCATGCCCTTCCTCCCACAGTTCCCTCACAGAGAGACATAAGATCTTGCATCGGCTCCTCCAGGAGGGCAGTCCTTCTGATATTGCCACCCTGTCCATGGAGCACGATAAGAAAGATGGAATGCCTGGTGGTACAGCTACTGCTGTTACACCACAGAACCAGGCTCCAGGAACCCCGGACATCAGGCTGGAAGCAGATGCTATGAAGAAGAAGGATTCAAAGGACCATCACACAAAGGACCATCAGCTCCTTCGCTATCTGCTTGACCAGGATGATAAAGAACTAACATCTAACCCTTCCTTGAGCCTGGAGGATGTGAAGGTGAAAGAAAACCCAGAGCAATTGGACCCTTGTAATGCACCTGTGGCACCACCGCCTAAGCCCTCCACTCAAGAGGAGGTGAAGCTACAGCCACAGGGACAGGTGAGTTTTTAGTTCAAACTACTTTTCTCTTAACAATACATTTTCCATTTCTTATGAAATTTATTTTCTGCTGCTGCTGCTAATTTATGATTCTCCTTGGCTAAAATTCAGCAATTTACTGAACTCTAAGGAAAAGGTTGATATATTCCAAAGTACCCAATTTGGCAAGGAATCACAGATTATGTCAGGCCCAAACGATATCTGTAAAATGGGGAAGAATATAGTACTGTAATATGTATTTCAGAACTCTGGCAAAAACCTCCTACACACAAAAAATAGAGTCTGTAACACCCATATTATGAACATAAGTTCTCTGCAGGTTTAGTCTGGAAAATGAAACAGTGTTCTTACTTTCCTAGCAAGCTCCAATATGTTTTAGGAAGCATCTGTTTTTAAAACCAGAGTTTTAATGGCTAGAATAAACAATAGTAATAGCAATAGCACTTAGACTTATATATCGCTTCACGGTGCTTTACACCCCTCTCTAAGCGGTTTACGGAGTCAACATATTGGCCCCAACAATCTGGGTCTTCATTTTACCGACCTTGGAAGGATGGAAGGCTGAGTCAACCTTTAGCCGGTCAGGATCGAACCCCTGACAGTCAGCAGAATTAGCCTGCAATACTGCATTCTAACCACTGCACCACCAAGGCTTCTAAGCAATTCTATCTCTCAAAGGAATCTCTAGATTTTTATTCCTTTCCTTAAGGCTTCTCCCATCAGAATACAGTAGTTTAGTTTATTTGTGTCTTAATCAGTCTTTGGACTGTCCTTGTGGGTGCTAGTAGGTCCAGATAATTTGTGGAAACTGCAAAGATGAGAATACAGATGGACCGACTGATCTTCCTTATTCTTAAAAGATTTACCTGCTATTGAAATGAAGTAGTTGTTGAGTAGGAGCAATATATTCTTGAGTAGGAAGCTGAAAGTTTGTACGAGAAAGCCTCTTAGCTTATGCAAGTGGAAAGAAAGAAATTGAGTAACACCAGAGAAAGCTGTGTGGCCAACCTCTCTGTTCCTGAAAGAAAAGTGCAGTAATCAGATTCTCCCATCAAAATCTGTTCCGGGTTTTTCTTAATAGCTTAATTTAACTCCTTTAATATGATTTCTATCGCTGAGCATACTTGCCAGTCAGTATCAAATGTTCTTCTTTTTGGTTTATGGGTTGGCTGCACACAAACACCTGTTTTGATCATATTTACTGGTACAATCCCAGGATTTTCTTCAGTTGAGTGAAGTTCATGTACTCTGCCTATCCACACTTGACAAAATGGGGGATGGACTGGGGGCATTCATATCAGCACACGCCCCTTTTCTTACACTTCAGTTAGTTAGTATAAGTTAGAGATCCCAAAAATTATTGCAGCTCAAAATGTGAAGGTTCGAGTTTGTGAAGTGTGGAATATAATCAGCATATTGGTAACAAAACAGAGCCTTGGCCAGCAGTGTGTAAGTTTGTAAAGGGGAAATAAATTAATAGAAAAAAATTTTTTCTAAATGGCTACAAGTCATGATAGCTTGAGTTATTGACTTATTATTTACCTGCTGTATCAGAGGTAGGTGTGTCTCTAAATGCCAGTGTTGGGGACTGTGAACAGTTGGGAATTCTTGTCCCCATGCCCACCCTTGGATCTTTAGTTCGTGTTGTGTTTCAGATGAAAAGACCAGAATTGTGGGCTGCACACAAATTATAATTTGCCAATAATCAGTAACCTTGATGCTGTCTTGGGCCTGGCTAAAATGACTGCCATACCTTTGATTGAGGAGTGGGGCTTCTGTCAAATAAACTCTCCGTTCCAAGGTCAAAATTAAAACAATACATGTTGTGGTTCAGTGGAGACAATGGCTTTAACACAATATACTACAGACAGAAATGGCTTCTAGATGAAACTTGTGGACGGTAATCATGTATTTTAGATGTAGTTTCTGTAACAAATTGAATAATTTAAGCAGACAGGATCTTCTTTATGTAGTTTCCCTATTGTGCCTGAAAACATACATAAAGATTGAATTTTCATGCTTAGAAAGATTTAAATCTTTGCAAAGAATGGAAAGGGGGGAATCTTGAATTTAAGTGAATGAGACTAAGCTCCCCTATTTCAAGGTCCCTCTTTAGTCGTGTGCAGACCTGAAAAGAAAGTTTCCACTGCAACCTTAGATGGGCAGGATGAGTAACTGCAGATTTTTACATTGCCAGTATATTTTGGGGCAACACTCAAACTCCCTGGTAACTGAGAGTTACCCAAGGTTCAGAGATTTTTGGCACATGGTTCTCAGCTGCTTGGAGCATGTAAAATTGCTTGATTTGGCTCTGTTTCGCATGAGGAGATGGTGCTGAAGAATGCAAAAGTATGTTCAGATTTTTATAATGTTTTATAAATATGAGTAGTTATTGAAGATTGCAGTTCCTGTAATATAGGATAGGATAGTATTCCTCATCTCTCTCAGATAAGGCCCATCTGAAAATCAAGTAAATCACTTGCTTTAGAAATACAGTTTTAATTTGTAAGCTGATTTTTTTTTTAAATCCCCAATGGAAGAGTGGATGATGAAAATGATGGATATTCCTGAGATGGCCAAATTGACAGCTTTAATTAGAGATTAGACATTGTCTAAGTTTAATGCTGATTGGAAATCCCTCATTGACTTTTTTGCATGAAACGGAAAAAAATGAATTTATGATATATAATTTTGATAATTAGAAAAATTAGATTATGACCAAATGTAACAATACTGTAAAGGTAGAGTAAGAAGTTAATTTATATTTATACTTATAATTGCTTTTTAAAAATTGGAAGTCATTTCTTTATTCTTTTTTTTTTTTTGCACTTTTGACTTTATTCTTATTTCCTTCTTTTTTCTTCTCTCTTCTTCTAAATAGTAGTTTTTATCTTTCATTTTACAAATGTAATAACGTTTTGTAACAATTATAAACTGACTTAATTAAGTATTATTGGGTGCTAATACATTGAATAATTAGAACCTGAAATTCTTAATTTACATCTGCTAATGACCGACAGCATAACCAATGTGTATTTGTAGCTGATATGGGTCCACGGATATCAATATTGAATAAATTTATAGGACATGATTTCTTTAATCACAAAATTTTTATCTGAGTTTTAAGGGACCAGCAGGCTCTAAGCTAATGATCAGGGTAGTTTAAATTTCCCTCTAGACTGGAGATAATGAAAAGATCTTGGGTGGAAGAGTACAACTAGAAAAGTGCTGGAGTGTGGAGGAAGTGTTATAACCCATGTTATTCCCCTCTCTGCAGGCAGCTGTTTTTTTCCCAGCCCTACCTGAAGTTTTCAGGGTATCAGTATGAGGTCTTCTTATTGTAAAGGGTCATGCCTACAAAACCCCGTCTTTAGATCTGAGAATTCCATCTGTTCTCATATTTAAATTGCCTCTCTGGAATAGCCTTTTTCTTTAAAAGCTGAAATTATTAGGGCTTCGTTACATTCTTTGCAAATTTATTTATCAGAACTATCGCTAAGCACACATTTCATTTATAAGGCTTACATGTCAAAATAAGCTGAGATATTATGAAACTGATAAATGCTACCACAGCAAAACTGAACAGAACAGCCTAACACTCAATATTCCTGGACAAATAACTACATCTTTATGTGATTTTTGAAAGTCTAGCAACATCAGCATATAGTGTTAGGTTTCAGTAGGAATAGAGTTTAGAGACAGATGAAGGCTCCTGAATGGCTCATATTGACTTGGCCCTAATCCTGCTAGAGAAATGTGCACCAATTTTAATTTGACAGCCCCACCCCCTTGTTGTCTTTGGAAGGCTCTGAAGAAATGGTTCTATCTGCAGGCTTGGGGACCTCAGATTAACACAGAGCCAATCAAGTGGTTGATATGATTGCATTTGTTGCTGTTACCTGGGGTGGGGGCAGATTGTATGGGTTTTATACTTTGGATTGTTTAATGTTGTAAGCCTCCCAAAGTCATCATGTGTGAATTCGGTGGCCATATGCATTTGTTTAATCAATCAATAAATTTCAAAATGTATATGCATGCATTTCTGAGGAGAGTGGCACATAGCTATGTTTATTCAACTGGCTGCTAATTCTTAAAGAGTTTCTATGAATTAGATGAAACTGTCAGCTTTTCAGGCATTTTCCCATCAACTTTTTCAAAGTCCAGCCATTTCTGCATAAAGTACCTTTATTTCACATTGCCAGTAATTTCATCCTTGAAGTGTTTCTGAACACGCACACACACACACACACACACACACACACACACACACACAGATCAAGGTCCAGATTACTAATCTAATACTAACTTTGAGCCTACTTAAAAAGCTGAGTGGAGTGGATGGATAACCTGAGGGGAGTTTGGGGGAATGTCAAGCAGGCCTCAGCACAGCATTCCACCCCAGCACAAATGGGGCGGTTGAACGTACAAATGCTATGGTGGAGCGGTATCTGCGGTGCTACGTCAATTATCAACAGAAGAATTGGGCAGACCTCCTCCCGTTTGTGAAGGTGGCCTACAACAATGCGGTGCACAGCAGTACCGGTTTCACCCCGTTCCGGGTGGTTCACAGGATGGACTTTGTACTCAGCCCCACCCAACAAGGGTAGAAGCACAGTCTCTTTTTAAGCACAGTTTAGCCCACCACCACAAAATGCCCCAGAGGTTTTTATAAAAAATTTAAAAATGTGTGTATTTGTGTGTGTATTTCGCTGCTTTGCCACTTTCCCATCTGGCTATAGCAGAGGAAGATGGAGCAGGTAAGGCTGGCCCTAATGTAAATAGTGCTTTAAACAACAGCATTTTCTCTTTCCCCGTGCTAATAATGAAATACCTCTTTCTATCACATTTACGTTTTTGCCTGGGTTGTCTCATTTCTTCGGTACTTTAGTTGCAAATAGGGTTCCACTTTTGTTAAATGTCTGCTAGCAGTGAAGTATAGCAATAGGAAACAAGAAATCATTGCACCACCAAACCAAAGCAAAAGGACTAGCATTTTTTTTAAAAAAAACACACCTCTAATTTTGGTTACCTGTCAAAGGCTCACTAGCTGACTTATGATCTTGCTTTCTCCCTTCAGTTTGCATCTGATCTTGAGCAGATGCTGCCTCCGCTGGAAAAGTCAGCCCCGTTGCCACCAGGCTTGTGTGGGTCAGAGACAACTGAAAGTGGTGGCATTACTATCAAGTCAGAGATCCTGAGCCCCTCTCTTCAGCCCAGTACTGCTGCAAGAACTCCTACTGGGATGAGCTGTATGTATTTCCGAGTCTTTTAAATATATTCTTAGTAGTGTTTCCTATGGTTGATAAACTGTAGTCCAGCAATGCATGTGCTTAAGATGTCTAGGTGTTGATTAAAAATGAAGTTTCTTTCTAAATCCAATAATCATCTCTAATTGTTTGTTAAAATCAAATTTGTTTTGATAATGTTTAAGCTGGACCATTTTGTTTTTCCATGGGATTTCAAAGTTGCATTTTCAAGACAATAAGGTTGATTCTTGAGGTACAGTATGTTTGGGAAGTATCAGGTACTGACTAAAACTCAGGTCATATTAAGATGCTGAAACAGCAATAGTTCATTTAAAGATGTACCGATATTTATAATAATGGAGAAGCAAACATTTATTTGGTCACATATACAGTGGATAGTTTGATTAGAAAGATCAATGCACCTATGTAATCTTACTTTGTTGTTCTTTTATGGGAACTGTTTTGCTGGAATCAATTCTTCTTCATCCTCAACCCTGTTGTAGAATTACCAGGAGAAAATGAATTGCTTGTTATGAAGCCCTTGTGTTCCACAGAAAAATCAGTTCATGCAACCAAACTGAAATGACATTTTAATTCAGGTCAACGTGTGCTAAATTGGCACAAGTCAAAGTGCTTAATCCATAGTTTTGCCAGCTATTAAGTAGTCCATTAACTTCTCATGCAGTGTGTGCCATGACACTGCTTAGCCCATATTTGACATTTTTAAGCTACCTTCTAAGTTCTCAGCCAAATTCTCTCAAAACTTTCTAAATAGTTTCTCTTCTTCAAGATCCCAGTTGTGGAATATTAAATGTGAGTTTAATCTTTAAGTCCTAAAGTTCAGAAAGAAATATTTCCATTATCCATAATTGGTTTACAGAACTTTCTGTATTGTTTTCCTTTGTTTTATATTACAGATGTTTGTATGGTTCTTATTTCTGTAGACTCAAGGCAATTAGCAGCCAAATCATAAACATATAAAATACTCAGAAAACTGCCATTAATGAGATTTAAAAACCTTAACTAAGTAATGGTGGCCCTCACATCATTAACATCCAATTGCTCTGGGTAGAAGATGATTAAATTAATGATCAGTTTTCAGAACTCTGACAATTTATTTGCGTTGTTAGGTCATCATGGCAGTTTGGAACTTCAGTGTTCAGAGACAGCTTATTAATATCATTAGCTGTGGAAGTATTATGCCCGATTCTTCTTCATCACTGAGGGACTTTAAGGTTCTTTTTTATTTTTTAGACAGCTAGCATAACAAGCTATGGGTCTGCCCAAGACACTTCATCCTAGTGTTGAATTTAGCTTCTGTTGGCTTTAGGGTAAAGACCGCTGGCCTTCCAGTTATAAGGCAGATAAATTATTTAAAACCCGTTTAATATAGCGGTAAAAGGAATTGGACTGGAAGCTGGGAGTCTGTGTGTTACAATCCTGTCATAGGCATGGAAGCCAGCTGAGTGACTTTAGACCAATTATTCCATCTCAGCCATAGGAAGAAGGCAGTGGTAAACCACTTCTGAAAGTGTTGCCAAGAAAACTGCATTGACTTATCCATGTAGTCACCATAACTCATATCTGACCCAAAGGACTCAAATAAAATAAAATGACTTAGTAAGTTTATGAAGCTCTTGGACATGCAGTATATTACTAGGCTGTTTTGCTAGTTGGCCAGCTAGCTTTTAATAATCATTTATGCTCTTTAAAATGGAGAGAGAGAGAGAGAGAGAGCGCAAGAGAGCAGCAAAAAATAAATTTGGTAATGCTAAATTGCTTGATGACCTAGAAGTGATCCTTACTTTGCCATTAGCAACCAGGGAAATGTTGAAAGCCTGTATTGAGCAAAATCTTGGCTGGGTGACTTCTTTGTGTTCAATTTTATAGTGCCTTATAACTAAACCAGTAAAATATATAAAAAGCCTGTCACAAGAAGTAACTGTTTGCTGGATTTCATACTTATGGATTTCATACACTTATCGAGATACGCTAGCAGTGGGCTTATTGCTAGCTGTAGAAAGAAAAAACAGGATGCTGCATTAGGAGAAATAAGTTTTATGAACCATAGTGCTCAGGGACAAGGGACATGTCAAACAGCAGTTTTTGCTTTCCCCTAAGTGCAGAAATTACAAGGTGGTTTGAAAAAGCTGTTCACCTTTTGGTTGTCTTAACTAACCATTTCTGCTGTCATTTCTTTGACAGTTTCATGATGCAAATATAGTAACATGCAGCTCAGACATAAAGTGCACTGAGGCCTTTACTCCATGCGAAGCTTTGGAAAATCCAACTTTTAAAAACTAATAAAAAATCTACAATGGTTTTTATAATGGGATTCATTCATGTTGAGAAATAAAGGGGTTTTTTGTTAGATAATTAAGATGATATGAGTCCCAGATAATTAGTATTACAAGCTGAAATGCTATAAGTACTGTGTTACCCCGAAAATAAGACCCTGTCTTATATTTTTTGAACCCCGAAATAAGCGCTTGGCCTTATTTTCGGGGATGTCTTATTACTTGGGGGCACATGGAGCAAGATGGGGCTCCTCTTATTATTTTACCTGATTTCCAGCTCTGTCTCCCTAACCCTAACCAGAGGAAATGGCGGGGACCGGCTGTGCATGCGTTTAAATATTTTCAGGGAGGGTTTATTTTCGGGGAGGGCTTATTTTTGGTGGAGAGACTTATTTTAGCGCATGCACTCAAAAGTCCGATTGGGCTTATTATCAGGGGATGTCTTATTTTAGGGGAAACAGGATATTGTTGTTCTTATTAACATTATTATTTGTAAGAAGCATGCAAACCTTTGGGTTAACAGATATTTTCTACCTGACAGAATCAATCCTGTATTATTTATAAATTTGCAAATGCTTTGTAAATAGAGAATTATCTGTTTAGTTTTTTGAACCCCAGGAACATAATTGTAAACATGGTTATAGGATTGAAGTTGAAACATTTTTCTGAAGTTAGAGCTAGATAAGAAAATCTCTGACTTCAATTAAACTTTTGATAAATTTTGTAACATTTTAAAAATGAAATTTGGATTTACGTATTTCATACACTTTTTATAGAATACAATTGGAAGGCTTTCTTACCAATTGAGAGTATGTAACTTTTACTATTCAGGTTTTAACATTAACATTATTCAGTACTAATTTTTCACAATCTCTTTTCTGAAACAGCTAATTAATATATGAGAATGTAAAAAAGAATAGAAGCTGAGGGAAGAAATTCACATTTTTGCTGTTAGAGTTTTCCTTCCAACTAGGTTCAGCTTGTGGTTTAAATCTATCCCTGGGTTACAATGTTTGTCATATTGAACACTGAAAATATGGGGTTTGATAATTCCTTTGATTAAAGCAAAGGAATTTTTATTAATTGTTGAGTGGGAAAGAGAGCCCTCTGATGGTTTGTATAGGAATTCCAGGCAGTAGGTACAGTACCAGAAGACAGTATGGTCATTTTCAGTAGCTATGTGATTTTGCACTGTGGGTTTTAAAGTGTTTTTTTAATTAACATTTTTCTTTATGTGAAAAAAGATTTGGGAAAGGTCAAGGCCACATGTGTGGCTGCAATGCCAATTTATACAACCTTGACCTTCTCTATCTAATATCACTGCTGGTAGTATCTTTGGTTGACTGAAACAGGGAAGTTCTGTGCTGCTCTCTGAACTGAAATTTTCTGTTCTAGCTGTTAATGGTGGGCAGGGAATGCAAACCGGACGGTCCTCATTTGAATTCTGTGATCCAATGGAGCCAGTTCAGCTACGGACAGCACCTTTCCCTGCCACAAATGGCAGCAGCCCTCATCATGGCTTGCCATCGGAACAGGGCAGGGGAGCAGTACCTGGCCCAAGTCCCTTTCAACCAGATACTGGTATGTGCTTTTACTATGATGAATGTAAACCTCTATTTCTAAGGTCTATCCGTATAAAAAAGAATTCCTTTTCCCAATAGCTCTTTCAGGGAGATTGACCTATTAAATAACGACTTAGCCTGTCGTGCCGTAAAACACGTGACTAAATGAGGCTTTTGGCCTCTACTTCATTATTATTAATATTTGCTAAGCATATAGCCTAACTTTCCTCCAGGAGAATAAGAGCATCCATAGCACTTTTTCCTTCTCTGGTGTAATTTGAGCTGAGAGATAGTGATTTGCCCAAAATTGCTCAGCTTCCATGGCTGAGAATAGATCTGAACCAAGGCTTCCCCAGTCTTTGGTCAGGACCTTAATCACTAGACCATGCTTGTTTCTTTGTGTCCAAATGCAGTACCTGGTCATGCTTTCTTGGGCTGATTACCTGAAGGGTTAGGAGAAGGAATTTGTTTTGCAAATTGAAGTAGAAATGTAATTATCACATGCTTAGCCTACTCAGAATCATTAGTTCTGCTCAGTTGGTCTTTCACCCAAAGTAAAGCCTCAAGAATGAAGAATAGCCATCTTTAACAGTCAGTAGAAAAAGTGTTTTCACTGCAGAATCTAGAAATGTCTTATCCTATCATCATCCAAGTTCAACACCAAAAGATCCGTATTGCAGCACTACAGAATATTTAGGAGGAAATTTTGAGCATTCGTCTTAAAATTCTTCTTTTTGCTTATGTGAGATACTGTCATACCTGAAGTCTCTCACATATTCCAGTCTCCCATTTTCAACTTATACAGTTAAGATCCTTCTATTGAGCTCCTGTAGGTTAAGTACAATATTCATGGATCTGCCACATGAGGGAAATGTATCAATCATTTCAAGATGTACAGTAACACAAAGTTTCTGGCAAATGCCCTAAGGAATCCAAGACACTCACAAAAAAGCCTCCCAAAGTTTCCACAGTCTTCAAATTCCCCCAATCCTATGAAACATTTGCAGTCTCAGATCTTATGCAAGAAATCTTGTGAGATTTCTTCTCTCATATGCTCATATGCAAGGTTTACCAAGCTGACAAATGTTAAGCTCATATGCTCATATGCAAGATTTACCAAGCTGACAAATGTTAAGCTATTTTTAATGTTAATTTTAATTTGGAGGACTGAGGTCTGGGAAGAGGGACATTCTAGTGATTGTGGAATTATGTTACTGGTGGACTATATTGTCCTCATGGCTTGGTTTTATCCATAGTTTTGATATTATATTTCATATATGCACCTCTTTTTCTAATGAACAAATAAGATAATTCCTATTACACTGAATATTAATATCATAGCTGCATGCCATGAAATACAAGCAAATTTCACTTTCCTGAAATAAAAAGGAGAGTGTGTCTTGTTTATAGGCAGAGATCTCATTGGCAGAGGGAACATGGCCATCAATGATACAATTTGATTGTATTTGAATGAATGTTCTGGAAGGACTGTGATTTGATCTGTTGCCCTCTTGGGTTTGTTGCTAGCTGTATTTCTAGTATGGATGGTCAGCCCCTTGGCTTCCCCATCTGGAGCAATCCGTTCCTCACCATAATCAGCCATGCTACGATTGTTGCCAGCAATTTCTTTATTTTCCAGTTGCCAAGCAACCCTTAAGAATATTTCACTGCTGCTGCACAGCTAGTTTAAGGATGAAATAAACTCTTGCAGGTTGACTTTACTCTCTATTCTGTGACTCTGTTCAGTCACAAGCCTTGCACTACAGACTATGCTGACCTGGTGCCCTTCTAATGTGTTGTACAACGATTTCTATCATCCAGGATAGGGTGGCAATTTAACTTCAATGTATCTGGAGCATACTAGCCTGGGAAAAATGGATATGTTATTTGAGCTTAAGGACTAGGCTTGTTTATTGTCAAGCTACAACAAATAGCCCTTAACGCTGCCATGGCCATGTTAGTCTAGAGCAGGGCTGTCAAACTCCCGGCCTGTGGGCCGGATGTGTCACGAGCTGGCCATGCCCACGCACAGTTTAGCAAAGGGGGAAAAGTCCTGATACATCACATGATGCTGCCGTGATGATGTGAGTTTGACACTCTTGGTCTAGAGTTTCATTGGTCTAGACCAGGGGTCTCCAACCTTGGCAACTTTTAAGACTTGTGGACTTGTGGAGCTTTGCTGGCTGAGGAATTCTGGGAGTCGAAGTCCACAAGTCTTAAAAGTTGCCAAGGTTGGAGACTCCTCGTCTAGGCAGCCATTGGAACTCTCAAGACCAACCAGAAGAACACAACCTGGACTTCTTTTTGCTCCATTTTTTCAATTTCTTACAGTGAGCATGGCTGAAAACACCTGGGAATAAAAGTGTTTAATGAAATAATGGTCTGAATAGCCTTGTTGTCCTCATCTCTAGACATGCATATTTTTGAAAGTCTTCGATTTAAAGGTGTTTTTAAAAAAAAGAGTTGCTGCTTCCTACCTCATGTCCTAAAGCTGTTATTTTACTCCTTCAGCACCCATTTTCCTACTTGAAGATCCAGGAGGTGTTTGGCAGAATTTCAAAAGTATTTATTTTCACAATTATAACATTAGACAGCCTTTCAAACTGTCATGGAACTATGATTTGGATTTTGGAAGCCCAGGGAAGCTCAGGGAACTGATTGATGGTGCTATGGGTACATTATTAATCATCACACACCTCTGGCTTTTGAGTTAAATTTATATTTTACCGACAAAGAAATAAAGGGAGACTAGTATAGATCTGCTTCAAGCTATTTAGTTCTCGTCAGCTAGCCATACCCTGGGATTCAAACTTGGACTACTTACATATTAGGCAACCTCTAAACCATGGGCTCTCCTTGCTTTGTGGGCTATACCAGGGGAGGGATTAAGTGTTTTTTTTTAATCAGGGCAACCTGGTCTACCCAAATATGGGGCATACTTTGGCTTTTGAGTACTACATCTGACAGCTTTTACCGCTGTGAAAATGGTTCCAGTCTTCAGTTAGAGTCCTTTCCTTATATTTTAGGAGAGGGATCCTCCTGATACAACTTTTGCTATCATTGTAACCTCTTAATGTGCCACCATTATCTGCACCAAGTATTTTTAGGTGCAGTATCATGTTAAAACAAAGATACTTCAGAGCACCTTTGAATTTGATAGAGGGTGTCTGTTTTTGAGGATACCCATAGAAGCACAATGAGGGGCCCCAATGGAGGATACATCAAGAACTGATTGCCACCATGTTGAAAGGAATTCCAGGGAGCATTTTCCTTGCTGTGAGCCAGACCAAATAGGGCCAAGAATTTCTCATGGTTGTCATGCGTACTCCAATCCATAGAACTGTCATCTTCCCATTACAGAAACTATGAACTGTTACTGGGAGGTACTGCTACTCAGGCAGATAATTGTTTGAATGTTACTTAGAATAGTGGACTGCCTCCTTACTAGCCTGCTACAGTATTTGCACATTTTAATCTAGCTTTCCTTGTGAGCAAGCTCCAGTTTAGGTGCACTCACATCCTATCCTTTTGTCCCATTTTATGAGCTGATCAAACTGGTGTACTCTTCTTGTACCTCAAATAACATGTACTTTTCTCTCTCAGGATTGCCTGAACTGGAATTGGGAGTCAGTGAGCATCAATTTGGGCAGTCAGCCATGGGGGAGCAGATCCCATGGGCAGATAATCCCATGGCTTCCATCAACAGAGGACCTATGACTAAACCAGATGAGTAAGTACAGGGATGGTTTTTCTTGATCATTGGATATCCCAGGCAGTAGCATGAGAAGTTTAAAAAGTCATCTAAAGAATTTTCCCCCTTTTTAGTATTGATGTGGAGTTTCTCATCAGGAGAGAAGCCCCAAATGCATATGTTTGTGTTTGTACACACACAGAGATAGACACAGTGCATGTGTTGGGTTTTTTTGTCAAGAAACAACAGGAACCATAAAGCTGTATTTCTTTTTTGCTTCTGTTTAGTGAAAAAGAAATGAAAGAATATGGATTAAATGTTGTGTTGTCACTAGGGAACACTCAGGACTCAGAGGGATGATGAGGCCCTATTTCACAGAAATGTGAAGTCTGGACATTCATGTCACTATCTCTTAGATTGAATACAACAAGAGATTCCCTCATCTTTCATTTATTAAGAGAGCAGTCATTTAAAAAGATCTTCTTGTGTAAGACTGCAACTTCTTTTAAGATCTTATCTTTCATTCTTCATCAGGCATTCCTTTCTTATCAAAGTCCAGCCAGGGAAAAGATTGTGCCTTAGACAATATGGTTCCTTTGTCAAGTCTGAAAAGATGCTGTCTCAAGGGGCCACCTTTTATATATTTCTGATGTTCATCCAAGGAAGTTAAGAATCTCAGAATTAAATCTCAAGTTCAGAAAATCTCAGCATCTTACTTTACTTGAATTTTGCATAGCTCCCTAACTGAAGCAAAAATGTATCTCGCCACTGTTTTTTTACTCCATGTCCTCATGAGATTGCCTCATCTTCAGCCTATAGCTGAGGCAGCTTAAAACTTGTCTTGAGCTATTGCAGTTTTTAAAATAGAGCTTTCCTTCTTTGTCTGGCTTTTTATTTATTTTTTTGCCATGATCTAGCAAGTTTCATTGACAATGTGGTTGATACTGCAGTCAAGGATTAGTTTCTCCCAGCTTCTATAGGTCACTTTAGGCCTGCAGGCATGCCCTCTCTTCTCAGTCATTCAGGAACACCCTTCAGTAATTCATTTGGCAGAAGAGGAGACTAAACACCTGACCTCCGCAGAGGCATCTGCCTTCTTAATAGCTGAAGACCACTTTCTGAAACAGTTGTCAGGTTTTATTAGGTCTTATGTGGACTCCTTACATAAACAGGTTCAATGCTTATTTGAAGAAATGCTAAACCTGTTATTTAAGCATGGATTTAGCATCTTTTGGAAGGGAAGTGCTCTTTGGGAAGAGAAATGAAGTGGCATGAATTCACTATCACTTTCCTTAACTTGTCCCACACTGAAACACTTAGGCCAGCACCCTCACCAGCCTCATTTTTGAGACAGCATCACGGTTGGTAGTGAGGTAATTTTTCTATGAGCTCATGAGCTAAAGAGTAGCTGTTTAATATAGCTGAAAGACTTCTCAGTCAAGATGTAGTTTTTCAACTCTTTAACACTATGCCATCTATGATTAGATATGATAGATTTTATGCCTCCATAAAATAATAATTAATTTGGGATGTGGGAAATGATGTTGTGCATTTTTGTCTAATTGCTACTGTCAATGCTCCACCCTCTTCCTTATTATCCCCTCTCTTCCAATAACCTTGAGTGAGGTCCTTGTATAAAATAAAGCCCTGCAGAAACCACTCAACCATTTTTATAAGTCTAACGGGAAATTCTGTGGAAGCAAACGTAACTCTTGGCAGAATGTTGGTTTAGGCAATACTCCTAGGGGAGGACAGAAATCTCTCTTGCCACAAGTCTTTGCCTCCAGCTGTCCTGTCTCATTTCCCTAAATACAAGCAACATGCTATTTTGGAATGGGGTGAGGAGTTGCCGCCTGCCAGGAAGAACCCAAATGCATGAGCTCTTAGTGAAAGAGGATTCAGTTACAGGTTCTTGGCCTCATGCCCTGGTTTTCCATTGGACAAGTTGCCTTATAGCCAAAATGGAACTTGAAGCATGAAAGCTTTCCTCATCCTATTTGTCATTAATGAAATCTTCCTTCCTTCCTCCCTTCCTTCCTTGATTGCTCCTTATTGCAAAAGAGAGGGTGAACAGGATCAGGGCAGTTTTCTGTCTTCTATAAAGATCTCCTGCAAAGGTATCATTCAGAGGATTTTAGGAATCTAACTGAAGAAGTGGAATTCTTTCTCTCTCTTTTTTTTAGTGGCGGAGAGGGGAGGGGAGGTTGTATAACTGGGGAGGGTGGGGAAAATGAAGCATCCTGTTCCTCTTGTAACAAATCCAGTATTTGATTTCTTTACCATTTACTTTCATTAGCCTTCTTCTGCTCTCTTTAATTTCTTACGTTAATTAGATTTTGAGCTCTTTTAGAATACGAATGGAAGATTGAAATGCCTGTTTTGTTTTGTTCTGAGCCAATAAGAAAGAGTGGTCTATAAAATATAAATGAATAGTTAACTTGAATAGCTCAGTAGCCTCAGGGTAAGGGAAACTTCATTATACAGTTGGACATTCTCCACCGTGTGTGTCTTGGCTTTGTTGTTCCAATAGTCTGCAATTGTTTGCTCTTTGAGCCTGTTTCTGGCAATGACATATTGAAGTCTTTGTTGTGTGAGTTCTCCTGCAAAGACTGTAGAATAGACTGCTGAACTAAAATCTCTTCCACCTACCCAACGCTTCTGGATACAGTACACACTTTTTTAAAAAAAAAATCTACATGCAAGTTTCACACACAACTAAAATTCTGGGACTCCTGATTGACATAATTGAATTTTCCATAAACCTGCAGTTTTATTTTCACGATGAGTCTTTTTTGATAACTTTTAGGTCATTAGAAAAATCCAGAGGGATATGATGCTGTGAAGATGACTGAATGGAAATTTTGTGTCTTCTTGTATTAAAACCCTAAATAAATATCCACTACATGAAAATACAGCTTTCCTGAATCACAGCAAAGTTCCACTTAATCCAATATTGAAAGGTCAGCCAGAGGCTTACAGGAATCCCACAAGCAAGACACAAACTTCCTATTCATTGTTTGCTTCTCCCATAACCTGTATTTGAAAATTAACAACCTTTGTTAATAGATATTCCAGTAGAATTAGTTGTTGCATGAATAGTCTACCTCTCCTTAGGAAGTTCAAGATAGATAGAACTACCCATGTTTTATCCTCACAAGAACCCCATAAGGAAACTAGGCTTAGAGATAGTGATTGTCCCAAATCACCCAACTGGGTTTCACAATCACATGGGGATTTCACAATCACAATCCAGGTCTCCCCAATTCCAATCCATCACTCTATCCAGTGGCTATGTCATTAAAACTTTCACCCATAAATGTGTAGAATCCCTTTTTAAAGTGCTGCTTTAATAAAAATCCAAATCAGTTTGTCAAGGGCTTACTTTAGAGCAGGGGTGTCACACTCAAGGCCCGGGGGCTGGATCTGGTCCACAGTGTGCTTAGATCTGGCCCACGGGGCCACCCTGGGAACAATGAATGACTGGCCCGCAGTGCCTCTGCCAATGAAAAGAGTGCTTGGGACGGCTGCGTGCAGCCCTCTCAAGCTCCATTTTTGCTGGCAGAGGATTGCAGGAGGCCATCACAGCTGAAACGGAGCTCAGGAGCCCATTTTTGTGTGCAGACCACTTGGGCCACCACAGGCACCAACACAAGTGATGTCGAGCTGGCCATGCTCACCCCAGCCATGCCCACCCCAGCCCCCCAAGGTCAAACACAACCCTGATGTGGCTGTCAATGAAATCGAATTTGACACCCCTGCTTTAGAGAGTGCTTTTACGCCACTTTCTGATTTAATGCATGCCCCCCGTTTCACCAAAATATGTCTTTTGGGTGCCAACCCTCCTTATCTGCTAATTGACAGCATTTCCTTTAGCTCTCGTATCTAACTTAAAGGATACTAGCACTTCAGCCACAACCACAATTGCCTGTCAAGGACTTCCCTTATTTCTCTGTTGTAACTGATATCCTGACTATAATGCTTCCACAAAATATTAACCTGTCTTGCCCATTAGCAGAAATTAGCTTTGTTACACAGATTCTAACAAAATGATTTGTCTGAACATTTATAATGTGCAATTCAAAATGCTGGTTCATTTCTTGGAGCATGAACATTTCTGCAGTGCCTACATAAGATTTTTCTATCCACAATTCCTGCTGACTGAATCAAAGTGATTTCTGCAACTAGCAAAGTTGGTCATGTTGATTGCTGCTCTTCAGAGTTGAGTTGCAAGGCATACATTTGTTCTGGGGCACTTAGGATTTATATTGGAGTTATGGAAGCTTTGTCATCTCTAGCATATTCATCACTTTGTCCAGAAACTACACTCACTCAGCAGTCTCTCTTTAATTCAGCTGAACACACGCCACATACAACCTTGTCCTTTATGAGCAATTCACAAACTCTTTAAACTTACATGTTTGGGATAATATCATCACATGCAATCTGCTGCTCCCTGAGCAACAGGGACATAAAAATCTCAAATGTAATTTTCTTTGTAGGAACAAGATATACAGCATGCATATCTTCCTATACTTCTGATACCATGTAATATTTGCTGGAGAAAGCACTAAGCAGTTGCTATGCTAATTCATGATATAAAGATGAGATAATGCTAGCTTCAACAAATCAATTTATTCTCAGGAACAGCTAGATAGACCTTGCAGCCAAGTCACACTAATTATCTACAAGCAAAGTAAAACATCCCAGGGGAGACAATATTGATCAATTGATTATGTGCCATCAAGTCAGTTTCAATTCCTTGCGACCAGATAGATAGATATTCTCCATGACGATCTATCCCTAGTGTGTTTTTTCCAGTCTCCCAACAGTACACTTGCTGATGGTTATCTTCTTCTTCCATTTCCTTCCACCTTTCCCAGTACTAAAGCCTGTTGCAAAAAGTTGGGTCTTTGCATAATATGCCCAAAGTAGGATAATTTAATCCTGGCCATTTGGGCCTCGAATGTAAACTCTAGGTTGATTTGTTTGATGATCCATTTGGTGGTTTTCTTGGCTGTCCATGATAGTCATATGAGTCTCTCCAAGAACAATATTCAAAATCATTAATACTCTTTTTGTTCTGCTTCTTCAAAGTCCAACTTTCACTTCCATAGAATGTCACAGAGAATACTATGGTTTGCATGATTCTGATCTTCGCACAAATAGACAGAGCATGATATTTAAATATTTTTTTCAGCATCTTCGTGGGCATATTTCTTAACCACTTGTTCCTTTACTGCTGATGGTTGATTGTAGAAAGCAGAAGCAATCCACCACTTAAATATCTTCATTGCCAATTTTAAGGTTTATTGTTCTACCTGTTGTGATTAGTTTAGAATTCTTTATATTGATTTTAGTCCCATTTTTCATATACTCTTTGACTTTTAAGTACTAGGTCTTGCAGATCCTTTGCATTTTCATTTATCAGGGTAATATTATCACCATAGTGGAGGTAATGGATACTTCTTCCTTCAATTTTAAAACCAGGCTCATCACCACCCAAACAAGGCTGCAAGTAAAATCCAACTATCCAACTGTATAACAAGCTTTTACTGAATCATATCAGAGTTAGATGCAGAAATTAAATCCAGAAATCACACACAGGTAGCTGATGCAGCAGGATTTATTAACTTCTTTATATACATAATAACACATGAAGTAAATTTACAATACCAACAGCAGATTCTTCCAACGTGGTAGAGAGTTACAGGCAGAGGAGAGAACAGTTCTTAGTTTCAATTCAGTAGAGCAGACAAGCCCAGACTTGTTTGCTAGACTCAGAGCACAGAGCCACACCCAAGCTACTTCCAGTCTCAGTTTCCAATTCGGCTCCCATTGGCTCATCCAGTTGTTATGCCTATTCATTGGCTGACCTTGTTACCATGCCTTCCCAGTCATGAATATTCTGATAAATCAGCCCTACATACAGAAGATGAATATCAGAAGGGTCACATTTACGACAATGAATACAGTCTGACTAATAAAATATGCATTAGAATGGGATATTCCAGTGCAGAAAATCATGCCAACATTGAAACATCTTTGTATATGTGTTTTTGGATTGGAGGGAAGAGTTGGTGTGGGAACTTGCTAAGCTTGACCATTGGTGGCAACAGAATGCCTGATTAGGTAATTGTTACTTTCAAGCTTTTTGGAAATCATGTGCTAAGTTTATATCATACAGCACTGATAAACCACAGAGGTAAATGGGTTTTGGCAAAAGGCCCATATGAAAGTGCAGTGCTTCTCATGCCATAAGTCAAATATCCAAAGGGATTTGAGAGCTTTCATCTTTGTTTATATTGACATTCCTACAGCCAGTGCATCACTTCTCAGCTGGATGAGCTCTTATGCCCTCCCACCACCCCAGAAGGAAGAAATGATGAGAAAGCCCTTTTGGAACAACTGGTGTCCTTCCTGAGTGGCAAAGATGAAAATGAGTTGGCAGAACTGGATCGAGCTCTTGGCATTGACAAACTGGTCCAGGTAATGAGCAGTTCAATCTACTTCTGTATTTTAAGGCCTGATCTTATGTAACAGATAAGAAGGTTTTCCAGAATTGGGAGTTTTTGAAAGGCAGGAATGGAGAATTGTGCTAGAAAGAGTGCATTGATAAATGTGAGGACACACTAAAAAAATAAATATATCCGCAATATATCTTATGTTGAAAAACATTGCCTATCAAAAGCCCCTTTAATATATTTTTACCTATGCTTTCTTACTATTTATTTTAAATACTTATTTTTAACCCCATAAAAAACCTGATGTTGCAATTTAAATTAAATGCAAATTAAAGGCATTAAATTATTAAAACAATTAATAAAATTTCACATCAAGTTAATACAGTGTAGAAAACAAAATAAATATTCTCCCCAACATTGTGATATTGTCAACTAGCTAAAGTATATTGACATAGATCATACAGGACTTGAATATATTTATGAAGAATCTTAAAAGTTAAGTATGACATTTTTTTTTCTTGAATTATGCCCTTCCAGGAAGAATAAGGCATGAAAGTTTATTTCATTACTTCCCAACTTCCAACTGATTTGGCTTTTTAAAAATTATCACAATAGAAATTATAACCTCTGCCAGACATGATCCCAAACCCTGTATAATTGGCAATGAATGTGTTGGGGAGGTTGAGTTCACAGTCAACAAAATAAATTAATACAAGACTGAATAAAGACATAGGAAAGCCAAGCTCACAGCTTCCTAAACTCACCTATTAGTTATTCTACCTGCTTTGTTCTTGTTGGACCTTCGAACACCAGGCTTCTCTGTCCTCCACTCTCCCCTGTAGTTTGCCCAAACTCACATTCATTGCGTTGATGACACTATCTAACCATCTCATCCTCTGCCATCCCCTTCTCCTTTTGCCTTCAATCTTTTCCAACATCAGAGTCTTTTCCAATGAATTCTACACTGGATAAAATGTAAGAAATTGTATTTTTAAAAACATGTAACATCAGTGTCCTCTAAACATGGAGCAACCTGTAGGGCGTTTTGGCTCTGCTTAAAGGGAATTGTCTTCTTTCCCTGTTTTGTTTGTGGTGCAGAAGAAGGGCTATAAACTATTTCACATATCTAAAATAATTGTTTGATTATTAGGGTGATTTTTTTTAAAAAAAATCTATGCATTATGGGTTTTTTTCTTTTTGGATTATTTTCTCTTCCCTTTTTAACTATGTAAGCTGCTCAGAGTAATTTTGGAGTTGGACAGTCTTCTAAATTAAATACTTACTAACATACATATAAAACTTACCATGTTGTATTCTTGAATTTGCTTTTATAGAAAGCTAATATCCAAGCAATATACTTGGAATTCTGCTGAAACTCAAAAATTTCACCTCATTTCTTAAACAGGGAGGTGGCCTAGAAGCACTGACAGAGAGGTTCCAGCCACAACAAGTAACACCACCACCAACTCTTGTGATGGATCAGAAACCCGGCATGTACCCTCATCCTTATCCCTCAGCTTCCCCCACTGCTAACCTTCCCGGGCCTTTCCCAGGCATCGTGAGGCAGAAACAGTCCTTTGGACCTATGTCAGTCCAGGTTCCATCACCTCGTGGGGCTTTCCCTGCTGTGGGGATGCAGCCACGACAGGCACTCAATAGGCCTCCAACAGCTCCAAATCAGTTGCGGCTGCAGTTACAACAACGTCTACAAGGGCAACAGCAGGTGAGTCCAGTCTCAGCTTGTCTGGCCATTGCCCATTGTGTGCTGGCCAAGCTGAAGTAATTGTCTATCTCTTGATAGCCCTTCCCCTCCTTTTCCATCGGTCAAAGAATACATTCATGTACTAATAAGCTTGTGGCTGTTCAGGAAATGCTTGAGCAGCTGTTTGGGCACGTTTCTTACATACAGCAACCTTTTACTTGTCCTGGCACAGACCTGTTCCCAAAAAATTTTAGGAACAATTTTCCTTTCAGTCCTGGTGTCAACCCTGGAGCCATCTTGAAACATCTTCAGGGTTACCACAGCGAGGCTGGCTAGAGCTGTGGGAAAGGAAGGGAGGAGTAGAGATAGCTGGGGAAACATGTAGCCAAAATAACATTCTTTCTCTTGGGAGCCAAGCACACTCTCACCAGCACCTGGTGGGGCATGGATGGGAGTCATCCGGGTCTGGGACTGTGACCTGATTGGGGCATGTGATGGTTGTGTGTACTGGGGGGGGAAGAACTTTGGATTTTGAATTGGGTGGGGAAAACTCAGGGAGCTTCAGAGTTGGGTTTTCACCAGCTGTGCCAATATGATATGCCTAATAAATCTATATTTTGAGGAACTCTCTGGCCTTGGAATTTTGATTTCATCTGGGCTGTTACTTGGAACCCTGACACCTGGCCTTTCTTTTAGCATGTAAGCAACTAACCAACTCTTCTAGCATTTATTCCTTTATCTAGCATCTTTAGATCTGATATCTCTATTTTTTTTAAAAATGTAATTTTCATAGAATAAATTTTTAACAAGACAAAACAGTACAAATATTAGAAAAGAAATAGAATATGGAAGAATGGTGAATAAGCACAAAAGAAAATAGAAAAAGAAATGATTATAAAGAAGCGGCTTCTGATCTTTTTGATGGCAGTTTTAAATGCATTTATATTTTACCCTCCCCAATAAGGTGACAATTTTTTTTTCTTTTTCTAAATTACTCTTTCTAAAGACCTGGTATCTTTAGATACCAGAGTGGAATACGTACCAGAATGGATACTTCTTTCTTCTTCTCTCTGCTGTCTTTCCTCTCACCACTATAGATGTTCTGAAAATCAGAAAATAAACTTTATGGCTGCCCTACAACTCCCAGTTATCTAAGTCAGTGTGGGCAATAGAATGAGATGCTGGGTGCTTTGGATCAATAATAGCCAAACAGCTGTAGGTCTCCCAGTCTTGACCTATGCAAACAGTCAGCTGACCTTGATTTACATTGCAAGTTTTGTTGACTAAAGAAATGGGTGAGGTATGCAGTGCAGTTTGCACAGAGACCAAATCTTTGTTTCTTTGTCTCTAGATGATACACCAAAATCGGCAGGCTATTCTAAACCAGTTTGCAGGGAATCCTCCAGGTGGTATCGGCATAAGAGCAGGCATGCAGCAGCAAATGACACCTCAGGTAAATGCTGGGAGCCTTTTTTATCCAGGTTGTGTCTCTCAGCACTTGATACTGAAAATCATATATATAATCACAATATATATTTTCTATGAATTTATCTAATACTGCCATCCATCCACCCAAAAAATATTCACGTTATTGTATGGAAGAAAATGGTACTGTTCTACTCTATCTATGCACTCTGTAAGGAAGCATTTCATTTTGCCTCTTGTGAATCTCCAGTGATTCAGCTATATTGAATAACCTAGAATTATAACAAGAGGAAGAGGGAAAAAACCTTTCTACCTTCTACATCATTATTGTATCATTTAAGTCAGTGGTCCCCAACCTTTTTGGTGCCAGGGACTGGTTTAATGGAAGACAATTTTTCCATGGGCTGGAGGGGGGAGGCGCGTGCATGCACAGATTTGCTCACTCATGCATGCAGTTTTGCTCGCCCGCTGCTCACCTCCAACTGTGTGGCCCAGTTCCTAACAGGCCATGGGCCAGTGCCAGTCTGCAGTCAGGGGTTGGGGACCCTTGATTTAAATTACTTCTTCTGCTAGTTAAAGGCCCTAATACCTCATAAGGAAGTTTCCCAGATTCTTGAATATTTGAGTTACTTTCCTCCACCTCTGATATTCTTTTTGAAATATAGTGATCAGAATAATACATGTTAGTCCAAATGTAGTTGTATTGTTTATTTGCACACACACAAAAAGAGTGGTGGTGGTGGTGTCACCATCATTCTAATTTCAGAGGAACATCTGTATGGCTGCTCCTGAAAAGCACAATCCTAGCCCAGTGTCCTGATTAGTAAAGTTTAGGACAAACTTCTGTAACCTGATAGTCCCCTCCTACCCCCTTGTGTTGGGTTATCCCCTTGTCCCAATCAGTATAGCTGTTGTGGACATAGATGGAGAGCACTAGGGTAGATCAGAAACTTGGAGAGATTTTCAAAACAGGCTGTTTGGAGGAGAGACCATCTTGAGAGCAATAAACTATTGGATTATAAAAGAATGAGTGAGCATAATGACAGAGACCAACAGCAGGTGTTTTTCTAGACAAGCAGAAGTAGGAACAGCTGATGCTTCTACAATCCCTCTTTTTTTTCAAGCTAACAACTGCACTAAAAATCAGAAAGCTGGAATATTTGCTTGCAATTCTTCAGATTATAGCTGGAAAAAGAGAGATCCCTCCTGGGGTCAGGAATGTGAAATGACAAACCAACAGATTGTTCATATTCTTTCGTCTTTACCAGAGAAGCTAAATTCCTTCTCCTTCAGTAATGAGAGGAGTTGATTAATGACTTTGGTCTCCCATTCTTGCTGCTTCCAGGTATTATTGAGTTTTTATATTCCAATCTCCATAAAGAGTTGATGAGATCTATAATATATTAAATCTCCATGGATACATAGTTAAATGATAAAATCCCATGCTTAGAATGAGCCTAATGGTTTAATAAAGTAGCTTTTCATAAGTGTCCATGGAGCAGAGCATAATAGCAATTCATGCACACAGGTACATTATCTCCATACCTTGAACCTCCATTTAAACCATTGCTATTCTGTTAGCTGCAAAATCCAGGTAATTAAGTGGTTTTAAACAGTGCACAAATGAATACGTGATAGTGAATAACAAAAATAGCCCTGGAGGAATACGTATACTTCTGTTGTTTGACTCACTGAGTTGAGCTGTTTTGATTATTCTATGCAAGCATACGTTCCTAAAGCAAGCACATATTCATATTCATGTTTTTATTTTTTGCTTGTACGTACAAGACAATGTGTACTATATCGCTACAGTTGGTTCCCTGTTTTCTGCACTTTTGCATAAAGAGATGTGAGAAATGGTGGAAAACAAGGTATTGAGGAGTGTGAATAGTGAGAACTTTGTGAAAGTTCCTTAGCAAAAACACTTGATAATGTTCAACGTTTTGAGGAGGTTGTCTGGCTTTTCATCTGAATAGCACCATCACTGTTGTGTTTTCTTCCTCCTCCTCCTCCTCCTCAGGCCCCTCTGAATGCACAGATGTTGGCTCAGCGTCACCGTGAACTTTATAGCCAGCAGCATCGACAGAGGCAACTCATGCAACAGAGAGCCATGCTGATGAGACAACAGCAAAGCTTTGGGAACAATCTTCCTCCTTCAGCCGGGGTTCCGGTGCAGCTGACGGCTGGGCGCCTACCCCAGGGTCCCCCACAGCAATTCCCTTTCCCCCCCAACTATGGTACGAATCCTGGAAACCCCCCTACCTCCACCAGCCCTTTCTCACAGCTGGCGCAAAACCCCGAAGTGGCATTGGCCAATCGTAGCAACCTGGTGAACAGGGGGATGATGGGAAGCGTCGGAGGACAGTTTGGCTCCAATATGAACCCACAGATGCAACAGAACATATTCCAGTATTCCGGATCAGGTGTGTCTCAGTCTTTTAAGGGAATTTTGCTCCATTGGGACTTGCTGAATGAGGGAGAAGGTGATACTTCAGTCAGTGGACACAACTTCAGAATGTGAGGACTATGACATGTTCAGAGGTTTCTGGTTACACATAAAAGAATTTGTCCAGAACAGGGGTGTCAAACTCACGTCATCACGTCGTTGTCATGTGATGTATCACAACTTTTTCATTAAACGGGGTGAGCGTGGCCAGCGCATGATGCATCCAGTCTGCAGGCTGCAAGTTTGACACCCCTGGTCCAGAAAATGACTTAAAAGAGAGGCATTTGAAGCTACATGTAGCAATAGTACTTAGATTTATATATTGCTTCACAGTGCTTTACAGTCCTCTCTAAGCCATTTACAGAGTCAGCATATTGCCCCCAACAATCTGGGTCCTCATTTTACTGACTTTGGAAGGATGGAAGGCTGAGTCAACCTTGAGCCAGTCAGGATCAAACTCCTGACTGTGGGCAGAGTTAACCTGCAATACTGCATTCTAACCACTTGCAACACCATGGCTCCTGTAGATTCCAAAATTCTTGTGCGTGGTTCCCTTTCTCACTCCCAAAACTGCAATATATTCCAAAAAATGCAGCAGATTATCATCTTAAATGAGACATGAGAGAGAAATATAAAATCTTATGAACTGTATTTAATTTGGCTTACATGAAAGTGCATTCAATTAACTGCATTTAATTAAAACTGACAGATCTCTGGAAAGCCAAAATAGAGCTCTTTGTCTGAAAAGTTGCGTACTTGTGATTTAAATGAATCTCTTCGCCATCTCCACCCCACTCCAGAATGCTTGCATCTCTCAACCTCTTGTTAATGGGTAGCTGCTTGTGTATGAAGCTCCAATTTTAATCCAGTATTGATTTAAATAAATCAAGTTTACAGCATAAAATATTGTGGTTGCTATCACCCTGTGAATTAATCCAGTTACCTTTTGTTGTTGTTTTCATTTCAGGAATGGGTCAGCAAGGTGAAGCCGCTTTTGCCCCATCACTCAGTCCTAGTAGTCCTTTGATGTCCCCTCAGATCCCTCCATCTCAGAGCCCCATGCTGCAGTCTGCCCCACCCACACCTGGGTATCAGTCACCTGATATGAAGACCTGGCAGCAAGGAACCATGGGGAACAACAAGTAAGCCTGATTCTCAAATATGGATGCTCCGTAGTTTAATCTATGAATACCAACTCTTAGCAAAGCTTTTTTGATATTTTTTGACCAGACACCCTGCCTGGTCAATAATTAGACAATTTAGAGTTTGTAGTGAGGATGATGAAATTGATGAACTACCTTCATGCTCCATTCCTCAGAGCACACGGTTGTCATTCCTTGAAACCTGTAATCAACTATACTTCGATCCACTTTATTATTGATTTCCTGGTATTCCTCCAAATATTTTTAGGCCGGACCGGTCAGATTACTGTTATTAACATTTCTAAATGGTGTCACATAATTCACAAATGATTTTCCTGTCTCCTTTTTTTTTCCCTTTCTTCTTTTTAAAATATTATTATTAATTCAAGGTAGGAAAATACTTTAAATCATCATTTCAGATAGATCATAACAAGTCTGTTTTGGCTGGACCAACTAGTTCTGCTTTTTTGAAATCATACAAAAAGAATGAGAATAATATGGGAGTGTAATTTGTCTGCTGTACAACTTAACATGCTTCTGAAATTGAACTGGTTTTGAATGAAGCCCATCCCAGTATGTAATTCCTGTGCCTCATTCTTTCAAATGCAGTGTATATGGCCAGGCTGGTCAGACTCAGCCCCCCTCAGCTCAGCAGGGAATGTACAACAACATGAGCATCACAGTCTCCATGGCCGGAGGAAATGCCAGTGCCCAGAATATGAACCCAATGGCTGGGCAAATGCCAATGAACTCATTGCAGATGCCTGGCATGAACCAGCTATGCTCTGAGCAGGTCAGTGTATCCAGATGTGTCTCCTTCCTCTCCTGTGGACTTCACCAAAGTCTCAAAATATTAATAAGACCACACTTGGAGTACTGCATCCAGTTTTCATCACCATATTATAAAAAGATGTTGAGACTCTGGAAAGAGTACAGAAAAGGGCAACAAAGATGATTAGGGGGCTGGAGGCCAAAACATATGAAGAACGGTTGCAGGAATTCGGTTTGTCTAATCTAGTGAAAAGAAGGACTAGGGAGGACATGATAATAGTATTCCAGTATTTGAGGGGCTGCCACAAAGAATAGGGGGTCATCCCTATGTTCCAAAGCACCAGAAGGCAAGACAAAAAGCAATGGATGGAAACTAATCAAGAGAGAAACGACTTAGAACTAAGGAGAAATTTCCTAACAGTGAGAACAATTAACTAGTGGAGTGGCTTGCCTTCAGAAATTGTGGTTACTCCATCACTGGATGCTTTTAAGATAAGTCTGGACAGCCACTTGCCTGAAATGGTGTAAGGTCTCTTGCTTGAGCAGTGGGTTGGATTAGAGCACCTCCAAAGTCCCTTCCAACTCTGTTATTCCGTTATCAACATTTTTATATATATAAAGAACATGAGTATCACACACATTTCGTCTTTCGCCTCAAGGTCAAAACTCATTTTCAATGAGAAACCCTCCCCCCCACCCCACCAGCAAAAGTAACTATCACAGTGTCAAGCCTATGAATTTTTGTAAATTAAATGTCTGGGATGAACTGACAAATAGCTGCAAAGTGACAAGGAGAAGGTACAGGGCAAAAAAAGAGCCATTTTTCCTCCTCCACCAACAGGGAGACTGGAAATAAGTAGAAAGCCAGAAGAAAGGCTAAACACTCATCACCCCAATTGAGAAAAGATGTCCCATTTGGGGAGGAGATGTCTTAGATGGTGGGCACACCTCCTAAAATCAGAAAACTCTGCTGGTCTCCAGAAACCCATCCTGTTGGCCAACACAAGCAGCAGCAGGCAGTTGTGGGAGTGGCAACATTCTTGTTATGTACTGAATGGGAAACAATGTCCACATTTACTACTCATTGCATCTACATATCTCAGGTGCAAAAATTCAGGTAATTTATTAGATGGCGGTGGAGGTAGAATTTTATCTCTTTGCTGTCATTCATTGGTCATCTGGATGCAAAGGTCAGACTAAGTAAAGTAATCCTAACTGCAGCTACATAGGTACTTGAGGTTATGGATTAAGTTTAATATGTAAATAGGTCTAAATTAGCACATTCTGGTTTTTAGCCTTGGAAATCTGACCCTTGATGTTTCCTACTCCTTACTGTAAAGTTTTTAGATGTTCAAGATAGCAGATCCAGTTCTGCTGAAGAATTTAGTAGATTTCAAGATGATATGACATGAATGTTACACATTTTAAGGTTTTGCAGCTTTTGCCATGTAGCATATCTCAAATCTAAGCTGGGGTAACAAAAAATTTAGTTTAAACATTAGGAATTCAGAATTCAGATTTGAAGATTTAAGGTGTTCTTGGTCTTTGTCAAGCTTGTAAAGCAAATGTAGAATCTGCCCAGCAGATTTACTCAGTGTGTGCTTCTCTTCCACACTCAGCACAAGCCTATAAACAGCAAGGCTTAATGCTTAATGTTTAACCCCCATTAAGTTGATAACTGCCCAGAATCACTTCAAGAGTGACATGGATGGCATATAAATTTAATTTAAAAAATAAATAAATGAGCCAAAATGCTTTTGAAGACAAAGAACTTCTACCTTGGTCAGGGAGTTGGACTAGAAGACATTTCTAGGTCCTCTCCAGCCCCCTGCTTCTATTATTCTAAAGATCTCCAGGCTGTTTCCACTCCATTATTTTGCTGTATTTTGACAGTTTTTGTAAACTGCTTAGAGTTGGCCAGTTTAATGGGGCATAAAATCACCATAATAAATACATGAGTAAGTTCAGAGCTAAGAGCTAAGATTGTATTTAAAACGGGAACCATTTAGAACAAGCCCGATCAAGGAATATTGTTTTTGTTGAGTTACCAAGCACTGCCCTAACTTGCCTTTTCTGTCCAGATACCTTATGGAAAGCTTTTCCTCAAACCAGGGAAGACAGATGTTTGTTGTGAATTGGTCATCTGAGATGATGCCTGCAGCTCCCTTTGATTTTGACTTTTCAGTGATCTCCCTTTTCCTATTTCTAACGATTTCTAATTTCTCATCTTGTGCTGATAACTTCTTGTCTTGTTGATATTGTTTTCAGGTAAACGACCCAGCTCTCAGACCCACCGGCCTTTATTGCAACCAACTTTCCTCCGATCTTTTGAAAACAGAAGCAGATGGAGCACAGGTCAGTAAGACATTCCTAAGGCAGAACTCTGTTGGGAAAATTTGAAATGGTTGCCTTGCACTGCCTCTGAGAATATTTTCAGAGAGGCAGTAGGATTCTGCCCACAAACAACAGAGCCAATTCAGTTCCAAAAAAACTTCCCCAAGGATGCCTGGCTTGGAATTGCATTGATTGAAAGTGGGCATCCTTTACACATCCTGGGATTGGCATTGGGACAAGCAGTTTGTTTATTTTCAATTAATGTTGAGAGAAAATTTCCTTGATAGATGATTTTGTAAAGCAAAAGCCTATCCCATAAGATTCTTCTGATTTTTCAGACAGTTATTCCTGTGCTAGCTCCTTTGCACCTTGTCCTGCTGTATGGCTTTGGAGCTGCTCTATATACAAAAAGGGGCATACTGATTTTATTCATAATATTTTTAACGAGCCATAGTGGTGCGGTGGTTAGAATACAGTATTGGACGCTACCTCTGCATTCCACTACCAGGAGTTCAATCCTGACTAGCTCAAGGTTGACTCAGCCTTCCATCCTTCTGAGGTCGGTAAAATGAGGGCCCAGATTGTTGGGAGCAATATGCTGACTCTGTAAACCGCTTAGAGAGGGCTGTAAAGGAGTATATAAGTCCAAGTGCTATGGCTATTTTTTGTAATCAGTGAATTTCTCTTTCCTGTTTTGTGAAATCAGACATGCCCTTTCTAAATCTCAAGGATCTGTTGGCTATAAATTTGGCTTATGATGTATCAGGTCACAAGAATTGTTCCTGGTAGAACATATGATACCAGAAAACCTATAAGTAGCAAAAGCTAAAACTGAATCTGTACTCTTGAGTCAGGCAGACCACCAGTTCCTATGAGGTACTAGAATCTATTATTCTTATCAGTAATAGCAAAAGCAATAAATGAAGAAAACTGAAGAGCTAGAAGAACAATGCCACTTGAAATTCTCCTTTTTAACACTCTAAAATTTGAGTTTTTAAACTCAAATACAATTAACACTTAAGTCAGCCTATCCAAGGAGAGCATTCTGGAGATAAGGGACTATAAAACAGAAGGTATTAATCTTCTTAGGCAATGCAGAAGCCTGAGGACAGTCTCTGGAGACAATCTTAACATCTGAGCAGGGGGACTTGGTCACAAGGTAAACTTTAAAGACCAGAAACTTGGAGGTCATTACTACTTGCTATTGAAGACTGGAATTAGCTCCATATGCCCAATCTCCATTAATAATCCTGCTGCCATTTTACATTAAGTGCAGTTTCCTACAGGGGCGATCATAACAAACAACATTATGCAATAATCCAAATAATAGGTAAATATATATGAGAAATCTATTGAAAATCATTGCAAGCATAATCGGAACAACAGGTAGCATCTTCAGGTTGTAAACTGTTCCTTAATGCAGGAGGGAAACACATCCCAATTTACAAGGTAGATGCTCTGTTGTAAGAGCAACAGTAAGTTCATTTTTGCCAAGATTTGAATTTCTGTTTATTAGCCTTCATCTAGTGACTAGTCTATTATGAATCCGAAATTATCATTTCAGCACTTCCATGACATCACCTATATTTGATGAAAAGGAAAACAAGAACTTCATTTTATGTCCCCAAACAGTCTTTCATCCTCGACTTTCTTCCATCTTTAGAACAGAGAAAGCAGTTTGTTTTAGAACAACTAAACTGATATGAACCTAAAAAAATCTAGCTGCTGCTCCATAAAAAAAAAAGAGCCAAAATGTCAGATATAAAATGGAATGCAAATGATCAGAGCTTTGAATGCTAATTTATTAGAAGTCATATTCTAATTTAAATTGACTATGTTAAACCCAATTCTTGCCTTCATGTTTTAAATGAATTAATAATCCAAATATTTTAAACATATTTTTTCATGGAACTGATTTGACCAACTGCCATTTCTTATGAGTGGGATTTTTTTTTCCACAGAAGGGTTTTTGAGAGTTCTTTTGTGGCTTAAAAACAATGTAAGACAGCCCCCTATTCTAATTAGAAGAGATGGCACCAGGTTGGAAAAAGCTAGTGTAAGCAATGGTTATCAGATACCGTTATTACCTAGTGAGATTCAACACAATCTGCTGAGTTAATTAGTCCTTCATCGTGACTGTCTGAAGCATCCATTAAGATACTATTTATTATATGCAATTTGAAGTCCTTTCAAGAACTCAATATTTAAAAATGTGTTTCTTCATTTTACCTGGAATAGCAGAGATGTGCACAGATGTGCACAGATTGCACAACAAATGACATCGTCTCATTTTCCCAATGCATACAAGCATGCTATTTTATAATCAATGTTTGGTTTCGCATACCAATTGTAACATAATAAAATGAATTTGATTGTGGTATATAGCACATTGTAAGAATCTAGCCATTACCTTAGCATATTCCTGTTTCAAACACATGGAGATTCTTCACTAAAGCTTAAGGAAAGCGAAGACCCACTTTCAAATTAGAAAAACTACTTCTGAGTGCCTGAAACTGTTCTCTATTTCAGTAATGGATGAAAAATGGTAAACTCGAATATTGATATTTATTATATTACCTGCTTATTCTTTATGCAAAGGATTAGTGCTGTCTAAACCCATCTGTAGCAAATGGGTAGGGTGTCAAAGCATAATGCCATGTGATAACTCCAACTACTATAATAATAATAATAATAATAATAATAATAATAATAATAATAATAATCCCAAACATTTTTTGTTTGTTTGATTAGCTTTGCCAGACAATTCTTTGCCAGAGTTTCAATCTATGAGGAATAATACATGCATAGACATATGGATCTGTGAGATTTATGACCAGGATTGAGATCAGAGAAGTCACACTAGCAATACTCCAAATTATACAGGCTTCGTATTCAGGTGCACCCATAAACCGAGAAGTACTTTGAATCATAGAATCATAGGGCTGGAGGGGACCTTGGAGGTCTTCTAATCCAACCCCCTGCCCAAGGCAGCAGATCTTATACAATCCCAAACAAATGGTTCAACAAATCTTTTCTTGAAAACCTCCAGCAATGGAGTACCCACCATTCTGAGAGCAAATTGTTCCATTGATTCATCATTCTCACTATCAGGAAATTCCTTCCAGGTTGGATCTCCCTCAATGAGCTTCCATCCATTACTGCTTGATACTTTTATCAGTACTATATAAAATATAATCATTCCTAACTTGGTGCTCTATCAAATTGGCATACTGTTAACACAGATGGGAATTATAATTCAGAATATATAGAAAGCACCAGTCAAGGAGATTTTTTATTAAACGCTGAGAGGCTTTCAAGGCTTTTGAGGGGAAGAGGATACTGTACTGTGTAAACAATAAAACACAATAATCCCACAAATCATAACATCATAAAATCCAAAATGGATTTTAGGCCATTCCATAATGGAGTAGAAGCAGCCAAGAAAACCTGCCTCTAACATTTTATCGCTAACGTCTTGGGAGGGTTCATTGCAGCAGTGGTGGGTTGCTCCTGGTTCGCTCCGGTTCGGGCGAACCAGTAGTGGCGGTGATGGGAGGCTCCGCCTACCCGCCCAGACGTAATCAAAACGCTTTGCGCATGTGGAGAAGCTTCTGCGCTTGTGCAGAAGTGGCATGCACTCACAAAGTGAACGCACCCACGTACTACCAATAGCGAACTGGTAGTGCCAGGATTTGAAACCCACTGCTGCATTGCAGGTACCCTTCTTGACCAGTTGCAATTGTTGGGTAGGTTGTATTTCAAGCAGATGCTCTGTGCTTAGCTCCAGCTGGAAATGTTAATTTTTAAAATAGGTGTCAGATTTTAGCCTTTAATGTTGTCTTGCAGTGAAAACAGAATTTCAACAATGTGGATGTTCACACTGACTTTGGAACAGAAATGGCATGCATACAGCGAGGCAATGTATACACTGATTTACCTGAAATATACGTGAACTGCTTCCTATCTAACTTCTTGAAGTGGTTTGCAATAAAAATTAAATAGAAAGCATATCTATTTAAAAATTAAATTTACTTTGCAGGCAGTCAGTATTTGTAGGCTTTTTCACAGAGAAGTTGATAAATAGCCTGCTAAAACAAATTTGCATAAGTTTGTGTACATAAGCAAGTTTAGGGATAAATAAATATTTTTCTTGTATTCTGAACAAAGTTCCAGGTGTAAGCCTATTAGGTACTGTAGATTAGTCTGAATGTAAATATATTGGCCTACCGTTCAGGTCTGTTATAAAATTTATTAAGGTACTTTTAATTGAAACATTTTGTACTCTGTGCTAAATGCATGCTAAGGATATGTTTATACTCATGTATACAGTTTCCAGAACTTGCATAATTTACACATCTGAAGTAAGAGCTTACTTAACAACATATTTAAATAACAATGAAATTTTATTTTTAAATGTTACAGCATTCTGAGTCCATTTCTTTTAATGTCATACACTCTGCTATATTACCGGTTACTACTTTTTGGCATTATTTCCCCATACTATTCAGGCTTCCTAATATTGGTTGCCAGTTCCTGGGTTCTGCATGCGTGCATTCATAACCATTCTGCAGCTTTGACTATTTTTTCAATATTTTATCCTGCCTTCGATATGTTTATAAATAACTCAAAGTGGCGAATGTATCTAATACTCCTTCCTCTTCCTATTTTCCCCACAACCACCATGTGAAGCGAATTGGGCTAAGAGAAAGTGTCTGGCCCAAATTCACCCAACTGGGTTTCATGCCTAAGGAAGGACTAGAATTCAGTCTCCTGATTTCTAGCCTGATGCCTTAACCCAGAGGTCTTCAAACTTGGCAGCTTTAAGACTTGTGGACTTCAACTCCCAGAATTCTCCAGCCATCTATGTTATGCTGGCTGGAGAATTCTGGGAGTTGAAGTCCACAACTCTTAAAGCTGCCAAGTTTGAAGACCTCTGCCTTAACCACTAGACCAGGGGTTTGCAACCTTAAATACTCAAAGAGCCATTTGGACCCATTTCCCACAGAAAAGAAAACACCAGGAGCCACAAATCCTGGGTGGGTGTGGCCAACTCGACATCACTCACTTCCACCAGTCACATGACAACCCCCCCCAGCCATGCGTACCCAGCCAGTCATTAGGACAGAGAATTGGTTGTTAAAAAACACCGGGAATCACAAAACCCTTTTGACATCTCTCTCTCTCCCCTCCCTCCCCCCCTCTCCCTCTCTCTCATCTCCCTCTCTCTTTGTATCTCTCTATGTCTGTCTCTCTCCCACTCTCTCTGTATCTCTCTGTCTCTGCCCTGGCTGCTTCTCCATCCCCCGCTATCACCCTTACCTTCTCAGGCCAGGCAAGGAATGACTGGGAGGGGAGGGAGAGGGGCGGGTCCAGCCAGTGGTGGGATCACTTGACATGGAGCCACAGCAGAGGGCCCAAAGAGCTGAATGTGGCCCCGGAGCCGCAGGTTGCTGACACCTGCACTAGACCAAACTCAGTCTTGAAGAAAAGGCTACCCCACATTGTCCTCCTCTTCCCCCACGCCCCCCCCAAACTTGGAACCTTCAGGGTAACCCATCTTGACTTGAATGCAAGAAGATGTGAACTTTTACCTAGCTCTGATCCAAATGAGTGCAGCGGTTTTCTTTTTGTAGGGCAAGAAGACAGAAGAGCCCTTCTCTGTGGTGACTACAGACTAGAGGAATTCTCTAGTGAGTTTCCACTTCACCGTAGTACCCAGTCCATCTGCCCAGGGGCCTTTTCCCATGCTTGGCTAACAGTCTCTTTTGTGTCCTGGCAGGTCCAGCAGGTCCAGGTGTTTGCTGATGTGCAGTGTACGGTCAACTTGGTGGGCGGAGACCCTTATCTGAACCAACCTGGCTCCGTGGATACACAGAAAGGCAGCACAGCCTCTCAGACCCCACAAGCCCAACAGAAAAGTCTTCTTCAGCAGCTACTGACTGAATAACCTGCTTTTCAAAGGAATGTGAAATTTAAATAATGACATACGGATATATAAATATATATATATAAATATATATGTATATTATATATTTTTCTGAGATTTTTGGTATCTCAAAAACTTGCAGCCATTCTTCAGCTCTTGTAGTATATGGAGCAGGAAAAAAAAATCCCTCCTCCCCTTTTGGTTTTTTAAACAAAGATGGATTTCAACAAAGTGACAAGACAGAACCATTGAGCCAAATTTTACAGATTATCCTTATTTTTATAATCAGTTGCTGGCTTCTTTTCCCAGAAGGACATTACTAGTGGGGTTGAGGGTGGGGGTGGGAGAGCAAAATGGAAGGCATGTGGCTGTCAGGTGGAGGAGGAGAAGGGGTTGAAGTCTCAGTTTCAGCTGGATCTGTCACTGATTTGCATCTTCAGTAAAGCAGGAATGGGCAAATAATTGTGCACGCTCATCTCTTCTTTGGGAAGGGATGTTCCTTAGCTGTTCTTAAACATGTACGCCCTTGCTCACTGCTTGCCCCCCAATTCGTTTGTGCTTTTCTTAGCAATTGTGAGTTTGTCAGTTTTAAAGAAAAATGATATTAATAATATTAATAATAATAATAATAAATATTTTGCCCCACTGTTTTTTTTTTTCATGTTTTATGCTGGTAAATAGACAGCCTCCTTAGTGACAAAGAGGTCTTTGTAGTATATGAACAACAAATCAAGTGGGAGTTCCTATGAAAACTAATATAATTGTTGAAAATAAAATATGTAAATCCATTTGGGGGATAATTGCAATTATTTTTAGAGGGAGAGGAGGAAGTGGCTCCGAAAGCAATGCACCAAGTGCATCCCACCCATTTCCATGGGATTTGTAAGAGAGACACTGGGCCACAGACAATTCTTGTCAAAAACAAAATGGAGGAAGTGCAGCAGAAGTTCAAGTTGTAGTTCTGGCCACTATTGTAGATTTAAAAAAAAAAAAAAAGTGATTCAAATTGAGCAGTCAGCACTTGTTTTGATTCTGTTTAACAGCCAAGATAGCTTAAAACTATTTAAAATAATATGGATTATGATTATAATAAAAAGGCGCTTCTCTGTGGAATGGGAGATAAGTTAATACTTTTTCCCTTTCAGGCCTTTTAATGTAAATAGCTCAGACTTCTTGTATAAATTGGTTTCTTTCTCTTTTTAGTTGGGGATTGCTCTTAAATAGCATTGCTTTTGGAAGGGGTGGGGGATTTCTTTCTTTTCTCTCTTTCTGAAATTTTGTTGATGTGTGAAAATAAAACTGTGTAGCTTTTGTTAAATGAATTTGCAAGAGTTTAAAACACCAAGAGACAAACCTAATGGCTGATGTTGCATTATTGCTTAGAAAAGAGGGTGTGGACTTACATTTTGGACAGTCTGGAAGAGACACAGCACCATGAGAAGAAGGGGATGATAATAAAGAGAACTTGCTCAGCAAGTGACTAACAACAGTTCAAGGTATCTCTAAGATGCAGAAATCTGCCCTAGATCGTGGCATTTTAAAGTTCAGATTTTCTCTTAGTTTTACCCAAGTGGATTTTTTAAAAAAAATAAAAACTAGGAGAGAGAATGTTCACTGCTCAAACCTAAACTAAATACCAAAATCCATCATCCTCTCTTGCCACTCTAATCATGCAAGGGTTTGGTTTTACAGAAATCAACCAGCATCAAGATGAAATATCAAGGAAAGATTAAATACATTTATTCTACTGAACATGCTTCAATACTGTAGCACCGTACAACACTTAGACAAATCATGACTGATCTTTAAAACGCCAAGCAAGATTAGGTCTAGTTAGTACTTGGACAGAATATCAAGAAATTGGAAAAAAAATCTCAAAAAGTAGCAACAATCCTTGGTTGTATAAACAGAGGCATAGAATCAAAATCATGTGAAATATTAGTACCGCTTTATAAAACCTTAGTAAGACCACATGGAATACTGCATCCTGTTTTAGTCATTTCATTATAAAAAACATGTTAAGCCTTTGGAAATAGTGCAAAGAAGGGCAGCTAAGATGATTAAAAGACTGGAGACTAAAACATACGAAGAACGGTTGCAAGCTAGTCTAGATAAAAGGACTAGGAGTGACATAATAGCAGTATTCTAGTATTTGAGGGGCTGCCACACAGAAGAGGGAGTCAAGCTATTCTCCAAAGCACCTGAGGGCAGGACAAGAAGCTATGGGTGGAAACTAATCAAGGACAGAAGCAACCTAAAACTAAGGAGAAATTTCCTGACAGAACAATCAGTGGAACAACTTGCTTCCAGAAGTTGTGAATGCTCCAACACTGGAAGTTTTTAAAGAAGATATTGGATAATAGCAGTATTCCAGTATTTGAGGGGCTGCCACAAAGAAGAGGGGGTCAACTTATTTTCCTAAGCAACAGAAGGCAAGACAAGAAACAATGGATAGAAACTAATCGAGAGAAGCAACCTGAAATTGAAAAATTTTCAACAATGAGGAAAAATTAACAGTGAGGGGGGATGCAGGGGGCGGGGCACATTCAGGGGGTGGGGTACGTGTGGGGCACGTGCGTGCATTGCATTTTGGGGGTTTGGGCATGTGTGTGCATGCACGCTTTGGGCATTTGGTCCAGAAAAGGTTAGCCATCACTGGTATAGGGCCTCCTGTTTCAGCAGAGCATTGGACCAGAAGACCGCCGATGTCCCTTCCAGCTCTTCTGATTAAACATACATGTGTACTTGTAACTGGGAGAATGCAAGATTATTTATTTATTTATTTATTTATTTATTTATTTATTTATTTATTTATTTATTTATATGCCAACCATGTTGCATTTATGCAAATTGAATGAAACTTGACTTTTTTTTTTAGTAAACTTCCATGTATCTCAACTGAAAGAAGAAGAAAAAAGCTGGTCCTTGCTTTAGGAATTGTTTCCAACCAGGCCAATTTAACAGAACAACGGAAGTTGGAAGGGACCGTGGAAGTCTTCTAATCCAATCCCTCACCCTCAAGCAGACTGTATATCATTTCAGACTGTCCAGTGTCTTTTTAAAAGCCTCCAATGATGGACCACTCACAACTTCTGAAAGCCAGCTATTCCACTGGTTAATTGTTCTCACTGTCAGGAAATTTCTCCTTAGTTCTAGATTGCTTCCCTCCTTGATTGCTTTCCAAACATTGCTTCTTGTCTTGCCTTCTGCTGCTTTGGATAATAGACTGACCCCCTCTTCTTTGTGGCAGCCCCTCAAATATTGTAACACTATCATGTCGCCCCTTATCCTTTTCACCAAACTAGACATACTCAATTCCTGCCATTGTTCTTCATATCTTTTAGTCTCCAGCCCTCTAATCACCTTTGTCACTCTTCTCTGCACTCTTTCAGGCGTCTCATGTTTTTTTATATCATCACCAAAATTGGATGCAAGGGTGGTCTTACCAAGACCTTATAAAGCAGTACTAACACTTCATGTGATCTTAATTCTAGTCCTCCGTTAAAGTAGCCTAGGATTCCATTGGTTTTTTTCACTGCTGCCACAAACTGTGGGCTGATATTTAATTGACTGTCCACTAGGACTCCAAGATTCCTTATACAGTTACTGCTATTGAGCAAAGTTTCACCTAATTTCTATCTGTACATTTGGGTTTTTTGCTTAAGGGTAAAACCTTACTTTTCTCTATATTAATTTCATTTTGTTAGATAGGACACAGTATTCAAGTCTGTTGAGATCCATCTGGATCTTAAGCCTATCTTCTGAGGTGTCGGCTATTCCTGCCAGCTTGTCATCGTCTGCAAATGTAATGATTCCTCTTTTATTCCCTCATCTAAATTGTTTATGAAGATATTGAACTTGGCCTAAAACAGAACCTTGGGGTACCCCATTGGTTACTTCCCTCCATGTAGATACAGTTTCATTAAGGACAACATGTTCAATGCAGTTTATCAGCCAGTTATAAATTCATCTGGTGTTGATGCTATCTATCCCACATTTTTCTAGCTTAACAAGAGGCAGGTTTGGTCTACTTTGTCAAATGCCTTATTGAAATCCAAGTATACTATGTCCACACCATTTCGCTGGTCCACTAATTTAATCACTTAGTCACAGCATGATCTATTTTTGATAAACCCGTTAGCTTCTGGTTACAACTTGGCTTGCTTTTAGGTGTTTGCAGATCTGTTGCTTGCTTATCTTTTCCAGGATCTACCTAGGTATTGATGTCAGGCTGATTGGTCTGTAGTTTCCTGGATCTGGTCCTCCCCCCCCTTTTTTTTTTTTTTTTTTTTGAAGATGGAAACTACATCAACGCTTTTCCAGTCCTCTGGTAGTTCTCCAGTGCTCCAGGATCTTTGAAAGATCTAGTTCAGTGGTTCCAAGATCATATCTATCAGCTCTTTTAGAACTCTGGAATGTAATCCGTAAGCTCCTAGTGATTTGAATTCATCTAAGCGGACAAGTGTCCTTTTACCATTTTCTTGAGTATCAATATTTTAATCTGAATTCCTAGTCTGTGTTTTAAGGTTGTTTTTGGTAAATAGGGGTACTTTTTTTCCTGTGAAGATGGATGTAAAGAAAGAATTAAGCAGCTCTCCTTTACTCCTGCCGCCTGTCACTTCCTTGCCATCTTCTCCCATAAGTGGATAGATTGTGACTTTATTTTTTATATGTTGAAGCTTTTTTTTTTTTATGTAGACATGTGTTGCAAGTCTTAGTTCATTCTGAGTCTTAGCTCTCCTGACTTCATCTTTGCAAATTCGGGCTATATGCTGGTATTTTGCTTTTGTTACGTCTCTTTTCATTAATTTCTGTCTTTTCAGTGTATCAGAGTTCTTTGTGCAACTGTGGTTTCTTCTTGGATTTTTTTTTCAGTGGTATTGAGCTGGACTGGGTTTTTATCATCATATTTTTCAGTTTGCCAAGATTGTTTTCCCCTTTAAAATTTTCATCCATGGAATCCTTTCCAAGCTCTAAGCTTGTTGAAATTAATTCCTTTAGAGTCTAGGTTTGCTTGTGTCAGCACTATGTTGAATTCTAATGACATGGTCACTCTCCCCCAACATTCCTGCAATTTAACCCCCTCTATAATTTATTTTCTGTTAGTAAGAATTGGGTCCAGTATGGCTGTCCTTCTAATTCCCTCCTCTATCTTTTAGATGACAAAGTTATCAACTAGTTTGGGCAGGAACCTGTTCGATCTCCCACTTGATGCAGTTTGTCTCCCAGTTGATGTCAGGGTAGTTAAAGTCCCTCATTACTACTTGGCGAGTTTCCTACATACATTTAATTGTTTAGCAAAAATTTATCTATTTTTTCTTCTGGGTTGAGTGGCCTATGATGTCATTCTTTTTTCTTTTGATATTGCCCCACATGCATTCTAGGCGGCTTTCATCCTTGGTTTTATGCATTTTTGTAGAAATATAGTAATCTCTTACACATAATGTAATCTCCACTTTTACATCTCCACTTTTGGAGGTATGTATTGGCTCTTCTATTGTCACTCACAGTATCACAGAATTGGAAACTAAGCATTATCACTTCAGTTTAATTCATCCAAGTTTACACATATATCTCCTTAACCGTTTTTCAGCTATTGATTAGCCAATCCTGGTAACTGATGAGTGGCTGTGAAGGAAGCCCCAAACCACAGCATAATAAAGCCATCTTTTTTACCAGGAGGCTAATAAGATATTTCAACACAAACAGACTGTGATTTCAATATGGAACTTTTACAGTGCATTATTCAATACATTCACTTGGGATATACAGTATAAAATCAAAATAACTGTCTTAAATGAATTACATGCCATTAAAGTTTTTGCAGAAATATTTTTTTGCTTTACAGTACACAGGACTAGTTACCTGCTCCTGCTTCCCATACTTTGGGCTAAAATGTAATTCACTAATTTATGAATCACTGAATTGTAAAACTTCAGCCTACATGTTGAAGGGAACAATTCAATATGATAGCTGTCTTCCGTTCAAGTACCCAGAAGGAGTCATTACCAACCAAATTAATTTAAACAGATGACTCCTCTGATCTAGAAGAGCAATATTAGACTGCAAATTTACCAGTCCACCAGCATTCTTCCCATAATAACCAATCAAAATGAAGACCAAGACTAAGTCTACAAGAAAGACTTAAAGAGGATAAGATTTTCTCCCCTATTGCTTCCCAACAACTGGTATTTAAAAATTATGTCACTACTGATACTGGCAGCAGCAAAAACATATGAACAGAGGCCACTGGCTGCATTTATATAATGGATTGAATAATGAATGGTACCCAATGACATTTTAGCCTAGTATGATGAATGAAGAGATCCGGCAAATATACAAAATTGATTTAATCGATTCAGATGATTAAATTACAAGCAAATATGTCATGCAAGCATAGTAATAGATTCTCCATGAGTTTGTCTAATTCCTTTTCAAAATTAGACTTGAGAGTTGAAGACCATCATCATCATCAGTTTGTGAAAGAAAATTATATACTTTTATTATATATCAAGCAAAAGAATTCTTTCATCTGCTTATCCTGGATATTCCATTGTCGCCTTCAGTGCACAGCACTTTTTTACAGTATTATCATACCTTGCTAAATTGAACCATACTTAACATTCTGTTCACATTCACCTATATATAGAGATGTCTCTTTTGAGCGCTTTGAAATTCCTTTTCATTTCTATCATCCTGATGTTATCACTGCTCAACCTCCATATTTGTAAATAAATTTAAAAATGCAGATCTCAAATAGATTATTGAAGCTATTTTCCTTACACATATAACAGCGTTCATAAGAGACCCCATCTTTATTCATGAATTTTATGTTTTTAGTGAGATTTTGTCAAAAGCTTTCTAAAAGCTCAGAAGGGTTCTTTCTGCATCTATGAACTACCACTATTATTAGTGCAAATAAAAAAAACTAGAATATCCTGCTACCCCAAATATTTCCTAATGTAAATATATCTAAATAAGCAATCAAATCCCAGGAACAATGATTTATTATTTATTAAATTTATATGCCATCCATCTCACCAATAAAGCAACTCTGGGCAGGTTAATACCCTGAATCACCTCTTTAATATTAAGGCACCAAACGTTTCCTCTTACATTGAGAAAATTGTCTTATGTCACACCATGAGATACCTTGCTTCCTAATGATATCAATCCCATTATTTTTATATCTTTATGAAATAATCTGATTGAAGTAAATTCTTGCACCTCACAATTTTTATATTGCAAAGGGAGGCTGTGGAAAAAAAACAAGGGAAGTATACTTTTATCTGGTCAAATGTTCATGGTTACAGAGGGAAAGGATCATTTCAAGAGTTTGAAATTCTTTAGATGCTGATGTACATGTTCTTTCAGGTAGGGACGGAGGGCAATGCAAGTAGCTATGTTTTCTGGTTGTTCTATCCAGACTTTATGATCAATACCATTCTGTTGCAGTCTCTCTGCTAATGTACTCAAGGTACACTCATCTGGAGCCTAAGAAGAAAAAGAAAACAATCTCAGTGCAATATAGAATCAAAGATTGCTATAGCACTCATTGGTAACCTTTGTCTTGCTAAAACTACAATGACCAGCAACCCCAAAAATTAATCTGCTTAACTGAAAACAGCAAAAAGCATAAATTGTACTTTTTGTAGTAAACTGTAAGAAACTGCTGTTTTAAGGATAATTATCAGAGATGGTAATAACCACAAATCTAAATGCACTTAAAACGAAGACCCAGTCCATACAAATGCATTGAATTCTGTCTTAATATTGTGCTGTGATGCATAAAGATACTCTGTAATTGGGAAGAAATTGCAGATGTCACTGTATCTTAATGGTCTAGCAACTGGTAACAAGTGTTTTGTACACATACATATCTATCTCTCAGGAGCTCTTGGAGCAGAATATTAAAGGTAGCATCACACAGATTTTATCTGTCCATTCCTTTCCTCCATCACTTGGATATAATCAATGCTACAATGCAAAGACTTGGGTCCAACTGTCCAATCTCCTGTATGCAGCTTTGCTGATTAGAATCCCCTAATTCGCAAAGTTTTTTTTTTTTTTTTTTTACAGAAAATGGGGGGAAATTCTGTTGAATTCCAAACCGATCTGTCATGGCCAGAAACCTATGTATTTATTCAATAATCGGATTGCATTTCCATTTGTGCTCTCGCTATTCCCGTTTAGGGTTAAAGCCCATTTTAGAAAAAACAGATCAGTAGTCTGACTGGGCAGAAACTCTTTCAAGTACAATAATCGCATATATATATGCTTTATATATACACATATATGTATATACATATATATATGTGTGTGTGTGTGCCATGAAGATGCAGGGACATCTGCAGTTTCTTCCCAATTGCAGCCTATCTCTGTGCATCACAGCACAATATTAAGACATAGAAGTCAATGCATTTGTATGGATTTTATATAAAATCCTTTCCTACAGTCAAATGCATTGACTTCTATGTCTTAATATTGTGCTGTGATGCATAGAGATAGGCTGCAATTGGGAAGAAACTGCAGATGTCCCTGCATCTTCATGGCACATTCAAGACTAAACCTAGGACTTTCCCTTTCCCAACCAGTTGAAAATGAGGAAAAGCAATAATGAATATAGGTTTTAACATCCGTTGTTTGCAGAAACCAGAAACCTTTGAAATAGCGGCTTTTCTTATTCGCAGGTTAATACTGTCCCGTAATACTGTAGTATCGATACCACCAGTTTTGCAAGGCTGGACTTTAAGGTTCTGTCTGCGCTCTAATGAAACGCCTATCCAAAGACCCCAGTTCTGTGTCTGTCAATCAGCAAAGCCCAGTGTTTCTCCAGCTTGGCAAGTTGAAGATGGGTGGACTTCAACTCCCAGAATTCCCAGAATCCCAATTCCGCCAGCTTTGCTGGCTGAGGAATTTTGGGAGTTGAAGTCCACCCATCTTCAACTTGTCAAGGTGGAGAAACACTATTAGTTAATGCTCACCTCCAGCACCACGGTCCTCATGCTGCCATCCTGGGCTAGATAAGCCGCGGTGTCTGGATGCTCGTAGTACGCGTGGACCACGGCCAAGGCCGCATGGCAGGCCTGAGCCACCGAGGCCCCCAACGGCCACGAGAAAGGCTCGCGCAACAAATCGCCCCTCAGCACCACGTATTGCACCAAAGAGCGACCCGTCGCCGCCATCCTCAAACCGGAAATGAGGGGGTGTGGTTCCTTAAAGGAACTCTGGGAAAAGATTAAACGAAGGGAGACGCCCCGTTTCCGTACAAGAGAACCATTTCATGAGTGAGGGGTTCGCCATCTTGTTGTACGGCATATGAAAAAAAATGCTGAGGTAGAGCGCCTGGACCTGGGAGCCTCACTCGCGAGTCATTTCGAGAAGAAGGAATAAGTCTCGCCCCGGCGTCCGGATGACGTCACTTCCAAGTACGGTTTGTCGTTGCTAGGCGGCGGGAGTTTTGAATCCATTTGAGGCGAGCCTTCGGTCCACTGCTGAAGCGGCCGTAGGGAATTTTTAGTAGGCCCGCCAGGCAAGTAGGCCTCCCTCATGAATTTCTCCCCCGTGAGGGACAGATAGAGGCCGGGCTGGCCAGTCCGGTCGTCTCAGCAGCTTCAAAAGGAGACAGAGAACCCAAAGCGAAGTGGTGGTGGGAATAGCATTCGCCACAACATTTCCACAAATAATTTCCAGGCTTTCCCTGGGTTTGGAGATCGCTCTACTTTCGCAATTCTTTATAAAGAGTCTTCTTTGTCTGCTGCCTTTTCCTCAAGTGAGGTGCTTGAATTTAGGAATTTAAATGAGTATAACATATCATGAGAAACAGCCAGGCATTCTAATCTTCTTTTTAAAAGAGGCCTAATTCTTTTTTTGAGTATTGAATAAAATCCTTCTTTCCCTATCCTTTGGTTCATGGTCCATCTCCCTTCTCCTCCTGACTTCTCCTTTCCAACTGATTTTTAATGGATTGTGGTCTGCCCAGGAATTGGCTTCAATTTCTATTTTCGCAATGTCTTTCCCTGTTTCTGGATCATCCACACCATATCTATCCTTGACCATGATTTTGGGGGATTAGAGAAGAAAGTATATTGCTTTATTTTGTGGGCTAATTTCTCTCCATGTATCTTTTAAGTTAAATTCCTGGGCCAATTCAAAAAATGCAGGTGGTAATGTTTTCCTTTCATGATTTTTCTTGAAAGCGAAGTGGTAGTAGGAATAGCATTTGCCACAACATTTCCGCAAATAATTTCCAGGCTTTCCCTGGGTTTGGAGATCGCTCTACTTTTGCAATTCTTTATAAAGAGTCTTCTTTGTCTGCTGCCTTTTCCTTAAAATGAGATGCTTGAGCTTAGGAATTTAAATGAGTATAATATATAATGAGAAACAGCCAGGCAGGTGAACCTGTTGACTTCTGAATTGAACTGGAATGCCGGTTATTCTCAACCATTAATTCTCCTGGCTAAGGATGGTGGGGATTATAATGCAATGCATTAGGATGGCAGTGGGGGAAATTGACTTATGCGGTTATACTGGTGGGTTGATGTTTAAAAAAAGACTAGGCACGCTGAGCTAGGTAGTAAACCATGTAAACCAACCTGTTTAAACCATGGATTTTTTTCCCCTTGAAAATGATTAATTCACTTCCAGAATTCAACGTTTCACCATTGACATTCAATAAGCCATTCTTTATGTTAAAATTCTGCAGGAACCTGAGGAAGTTGCCCCCCTTCTAGAACCAGAGAAGAATATCTTGTGGGATTATTATTATTTTGGCTCCTTTTTAAGGAATTGAAATTAAAAAATGGGTGAAATTGCCATTTCCTTTTCAAATGGTAAGTTAACAGGCAACTACTCTGTTCTAGTTAAAAATGTTTAAAAGAAGTAAGATGGACCCTCCTAGAGTATTTGCAGGCTTTTGTATGGAGTACTGCTTATCAGAATGGAAGATCGAACTAATGCTGTAGTCTGGTAATTTATATTGAACAATTAGAAAACCAATGTAGTTGATTCTTTACTCCGGTTAGCTGAAGAAATTCTGAAGATATGGACAATTGTCTAATTATAATTAGGGCTTAAGTTAATGTACTGCCTATCTAACATTTAGAATTATAACTTGTTCTAAATCCCAAACAAATAATAGACATAAAAAAACGTGTACATAAAACATCAAGATAAGATACAAATAAGTTCAATAATTTTAATGTACTTTATGAAAGATATTTTCATTTATGAAATATTCATCTGCTTACTGCTTTGGAATCTCCTCCAGAAGCTTTTTCTGTTCCCCAGGCTTTCCAGAGAACATTTGAGTATTTGTATGAAATGGTATAGGCCAGGGCTTTCTGCCTGAGCACGGGGTGGGACTATAAGACCTCCAAGGTCCCTTCTAACTTTGCTGTTATGTTATTCTGAAGTGAACAGCAGGAAGATGAAAAGATAGGAAACTTTTCTTCTGTGAATCATTCTTAGACTTATTGTAAGCTTGAAGCCAAGGTATGGAATGGTACCTTTAATCTTACTAAAAGTGCCTCTTGGGGAAATTCTTGGAGCCACTGTTTATAATCAACAAGTAAGAATGTATATATGGAAGATTTTCCCTAAATTTAGGTATTTGATTGACCCAAGGTTTTCCTCTTGCAGGTGTATTCCTCATTGCACACTAGATTGTGTGTTATGAAAAATAAAGTGGTTATTGTAAGAATATGTCTTGGAACATATTTTGCATTTCAGATCATATATTAACAATGTTCAAAGCTGTGTCTCCATTGTATTCTTTATGGTTTGGCTGATTATCTTGTAGTTCTCACTCCTCTGCACACAAATAATACACACTTAAATCTTTAAAAAATTCAAGAAATAATTTCTTGAATTAATTGAAAATGGTAGATATCTGACCACAAGTTCATTTGTTTATTCAGTTTCTATAGCCACCCATATCAATCAATGACTCTAGGCCGCTTTATTTCAGTTTGTGAAGATGATTGGGTACGACTTTTATATTAAAATTTTGTTTGTTTTTCTTTGCCTGTGCATATTCTTTGAAGGTACATTATCTCATTTGGAAAAGTTGGAGGCTTCTGCCCGCAACGTAACACTGAAACAAGAGAAAATAAAGGAGTATGAGGAGAAGATATTGAAGATGAAAATGAGGATCCAGGAGCTGAGAAACCAAAGAGATGAGTTAAAAACCAAACTAAATGTTTGTCAATCACAGGTGAGTGTGAAGTATATCTTCAATAAAGACAACATAGGGTGGATTCCTGTTTAAGGGCTAGCAGAATGTAAATCATGAAGCTGAGTTACTAAGCAAACTATAAACTTATACTATATAACTTGAACTTTTTAAATGTTCTAAAGTTCCAAGGAAAATGAGCACATATTAAATAATTTTCTAAACATTTCTAGTCTGATAATTCAATTTCAATAAAGGAGAATATTTGATAATTCAGTTACTGGTATATTAATCATTTCTGTAAAAGAGGTGGGTGTAGGTATTGTTTCTATAAATGCATTATTTCTTGAGGCATTGTGATCTCTGTTTCTGACTTGCAATTCTTATATTGTGTTAATGTGGTATCCTTATCTATCAGTAATTGTGTTTTGCTTAATAGAATAGAATAGCATTCTTTATTAGCCAAGTGTGATTGGACGCACAAGGAATTTGTCTTTGGTGCATCTGCTCTCAGTGTACATAAAAAGAAAAAAATACATTCATCAAGAATCGTAAGATACGATTGATAAATGTTATACCCTGTATTTTGCTCTGGGAAGTCCGGGGGGGGAGGGGGAAAAAAATTTGTAAAAATGTTTTTTGTTTTGTAAAACTTTTTAATAAATAAAAAAAAGAATCATAAGATACAACACAGTGATAGTCATAGGTTACTAAATAACCAATCAAATCATACTAGGAAACAAATAAAACAATATAAATCGTAAAGAGACAAGCAACAAAGTTATAGTCATAAGTTGGAGGAGATAGGTAATAGGAAGGATGAGAAGAATAATAGTAATACAGTCTTAGTAAATAGTTTGACAGTGTTGTGGGAATTAGTTGTTTAGCAGAGTGATGGCATGTGGGGAAAAAAAACTTTGTATCTAGTTGTTCTGGTGTGCAGTGCCCTATAGCATTGTTTTGAGGGTAGAAGTTGAAACAATTTATGTTCAGGATCTCTAGATTTTTTTATTATTATTATTTGATTTATATGCCGCCCTTCTCCAGAGACTCAGGGTGGCTTACAATGCATTAAGCAATAGCCTTCATACTTTTGTATATTTATACAAAGTCAGTTTATTGCCCCCACAATCCGGGTCCTCATTTTACCTACCTTAGAAAAGATGGAAGGCTGAGTCAACCTTGAGCCTGGTGAGATTTGAACTTGCAGTAATTGCAGGCAGCTGATGTTAATAACAGTGCTTTAGTCTGCTGCGCCACCAGGGCTCTTATTTTCACAGCCCTCTTTAACTTGTGCAGTATACAGGTCCTCAATGGAAGGAAGGTTGGTAGCAATTGTTGTTTCTGCAGTTCTAATTATCCATTGAAGTCTGTGTTTGTTTTGTTTGGTTGCAGAGCCAAACCAGACAATTATAGAGGTGCAGATGACAGACTAAATAATTCAATAATTATTAAATAACTCAATAATGAATCAGCAGCTCCTTGGGCAGTTTGAGCTTTCTGAGTTGGCACAGAAAGAACATTCTTTGTTGTGCTTTTTTGAGGACGTTTTTGATGTTAGGTGTCCATTTTAAGTCTTGAGATATGATAGAACCTAGAAACTTGAAGGTCTCTACTGTTGATACTGTGTTGTCTAGTATTGTAAGAGGTGGTGGTATAGGAGGGTTTCTCCTAAAATATACCACCATTTCTACAGTTTTGAATATGTTTACTACAAGATTGTTCCGGTTGCACCACAAGGCTAGTTGTTCAATCTCCCATCTGTATGCAGATTTGTTGTTGTCTCGAATGAGACCAGTCACTGTTTGTACTTCAGTACTTTAACAGAGGGATCTTTTGAGATGCAGTCATTGGTATATAAAAAGAAGAGAAGTGGAGAGAGCACAGAGCCCGGGGGGGGGGGGGGGCGCTGTGCTAATTGTACAGGTATCTAGCTTCACCTGCTGCTTCCTGTCTGTTAGGAAGCTTGTGATCCATTTACAAGTGTGATCAGGTACAGCTAGCTGATTTAGTTTAGTTAGAAGAATATGTGGAATGATAGTATTGAATGCTGAGCTGAAGTCTACAAAGAGGACCCTTGCATAGGTCTTTGGAGATTCAAGATGTTGTAAGATGTAGTGCAGAGTCATATTAACAGCATCATCTGCCAATCTATTTGCTCGGTAGGCAATTTGTAAGGGGTCTAACAACGGATCCGTGATGGTTTTCAGATGGGCCAGCATTAGCCTTTCAAAGGTCTTCATAACTACAGATATTAGAGCAACCTCTCATTTTTCATAGTACATTGAACCATAAATAAACCATGTGGTCTGGGTTGTGCAGCACACTAGGGGAAAATTGGGGTAGCTAGTAAATGAATCTGTGTATCATGTGTAGTCTTTGTGCTACATTCTCTAAATTCATTGCTCTTTAATGCATAATACATTTGTTGCTACTAAATTTTATTACCATTGCTGGATATCTCCTCCTAGTTATAATTAAAAATGTACCCTTGTGATAAATCCTGGGAAATCAGATAATACAAACAGCTTCTAGTTTTAAGTTGTCCAATGGTTACATTAACCAGATAAAATGGAAATTACACTGCGACTCTCCTTTTTTTAGACCAGGAAAACGTGTTATCCTATTGAGCATTGAATTACAATTAATTTACTTATCTTGTGGGTATATGAATTTGTACTTGGCTTGGGAAAAGCTGTACAAAACATTTTTTACTTGCACACAGCCTGTCAAATATTGGAAGGAACATGGTTCTGAACACATGTTCCTTAACAAGCTCCTTTTAGTAGAAGTAATGGATGTTTCTGGGCAATATAGACTTAACAAGTTATAATCATTGAGCTGTAACTCTCCTGTTCTTTTGTAGTCCACTCCACACAAAGATGCTATGAAAAACAGTTTGCAAGTTTCTAAGGCTACAACGACAAGCCAACAGGACATCTTAGGGTGGAAGATAGAGAATGCCAAGGGTCTGCTAGAACTTTTTCATCTCACAGGTACCTTTGTCACATATTGATCAGATTTTGTTCTTAGGCTAGTCAATGGCCTGGCAATATGGTTTATCATAGGCATTCCTCCTCTTTACTTTAGCTTAGAACTTATCAGGCTAAGGTCCTAGGTTACTCTCCCTATCTCTGCCCATAATATATCTGACTAATTTTATGCAATACTCTTCAATAAATAGAGCTGTTTATCAAATATTTTAGACTGGGACAACAAAAAGATGGGTAAGGCTTGGAATTTTGAGGTAGGCATGAAGTAATAAGAGAGCCAGTTCAATGTAATGGTTCAAGGCACCAGGCTAGAAACCAGGAGGTTGTGAGTTTGACACCTGGCGTAGGCACAAAGCCAGTTGGGTGACTTGGGGCAGCTATTTTATTTCAGTTCTAGGATTTAACTGTATACAATTGTAAATCACTACCAAAGCTACTGCCAAGAAAACTGCTTGGACCTGTCCATGTAGTCCCTAAGACTGACTTGAAGGTGCACACATAGATAATAAGCAGGCATTCTGAGAATTTTATAAATAATAATTTGTTAAGGAACAAATGTATAGGAGCAGATGGCAATATCTAATTGATTTTACATTGAAATCGGATTAGAACTTGGTTGGAACTTGAAGGGGAAACTCCCAAGGAATTTTAGGATTGTAGACTAGATTGGGAAGTTTTTATTTATTTATTTATTTATTTATATGCCGCCCTTCTCCGGAGACTCAGGGCAGCTTACAATGCATTAAGCAATAGCCTTCATACTTTTGTATATTTATACAAAGTCAGCTTATTGCCCCCACAAACTAGGTCCTCATTTAACCTACCTTAGAAAGGATGGAAGGCTGAGTCAACCTTGAGCCTGGTAAGATTCGAACCTGCAGAAATTGCAGGCAGCTGTGTTAATTACAGGGTGCATTAAACCACTGTACTACCAAGTTGAAAATCATTCTGAAGAACACAGTGGCAAATCACTTATACAATATTGTTATGCGGAACTTGAGTGAGGATTTACATTTTATTTAGCAGCAGACAGATATATTACTTTATCAACCCAGCTTTGAAATTCTGATCTTAAATGCATTTTTTCTAGGCCTAAGTGGAAAATTGACAGAGCAAGGAGTCTCCTTTTGCATCAGCACTGCCTTTGAAGGAACTTACCTAGATTCCTATTATGTAGACATCCTTATACAGCAGCCTCTCCGGATTCAACACCATTCAATCCCAGTTTTCATACCACTGGAGCAAATAGCTAATGAGCATTTGCAGAAAGATATCAAGTGCTTCCTGTCTGTACTCTCAGATCATCTGAATGCTTATGCTAGGAGGAAATTCCAGGTAGACCAATTACAGGTAAGGGGGGAAATGGTTCTTTCCAGCCCTATGAATCTATGTATGCAGTTTGTAAATTTTTGAGCTGCAGTTATGTAAACTGGCCACTGGGTGGACTTCAGCATAGCAGTATCTTTGTCTAGACACTAAAATAATAGTTATAATTCAATCCTTGCAACAACAACAACAAAAAGGATGAATAATATATTAGATTAGATTCACATGATTTTTAGTATGTGTGTTTCTTTCTTTTTTTAAAAATGTGTCTTCTGCCACAATTAGGCCAAAAGATGAGAGGAGAACATTATTCTTCTGACACTTGAAGTGTTTCTATTTGTATTTCAAATTGCATGTGATAGTCAAGGGAAAGCAAGTCTTACATGAAATACAATAAACATAAAAATGCAGTCATGTAGCAAGATGCAGTGAAAATAATGCTTGTATTTTGAGAAAGGATGATAGAGAGAGAAAGAGGAAGAGAGATTTTTGTTCAAGTGACCAGCAATGGGAGAACTTCTTCTACCGATAAAAGAGAACATTTGTACCTCAGGGTTAAACTGCAAAGTCCTTAGAGTCTCTCTAAGCTTGGTGGGTTTTTTGCAGATGTTTCATTACCAACCTAGCTAACATCAATCAACACCAAGCTCAAGAGAGCACCAAGGACCCCACAGAACTTGTTCTAATTATGCCAAATCTCAAGAGATTTTAATTTTTTTTCTAGAAAACTCACTGCATTAAAAAAATAAATCATTTTTAGTGTGACTTAATGCTTTTTCTTCTTCAAAGCCTGAGAAGATGAGTAAAATAAAGTTGAATTTTGTGATCAGCAGAAACAGGTTGTCCAAGTGATTATCCTAAACAAAAAGCTAAATAAAAAGTTTTGACTTGGTAACATCAGAATGTGATAGATTTTAATCTTGGAATTACAGGGTTATAAAACACACAAAATTTATTCTTTCTTTCAAGTTCAACACCAGAAAAAAATTAAAAATACATGTACAGAAGTTACGCCTATGTAATTATATAGGTACAGTAAATGTATAACTCAGCCCAAAGGTTTTCATATTTTTTCACTGCAAAACTTGTCTTTTAAAGAAAAAAATCCACTCACTAAAAAAGGTGGGGCTTCTGAATGAGGGGCTGCAAGCCTCACCCTTTTCACTGAACCTTAGTAATGAAGGGGGAAAAGCAACATAAGCGTTAGCTGCTTATGGAAACTTTTTCTTTTCCCTCTGCCCACCCCACCTTCTGGGTACCTTTCCATTAATTCCTTGCTGCCTTCCCAACTTCCCATACATACCTTACATCATTTCCACAATGATATTTGATGCAGACAAAATCATTTCCCCCATTCCCACACCTACCCACGTTGGTAACCACTATAGCTTGTGCCAATGCCCAATGTCTGTCGTCTTCCAAAGAGTAGTGTTTAGATAGAGATATACAGTAGAACCAACTGAAAGTGGTTGCAGAAGTTTACATCCCTCCTTTAGTTTCAAAAACTCCTTGACTAGGTTTCAATAATGAAGAGGCTTCTCTGCCTTTGTCAAGTTAGAATAGAGGCTCTCCTTTTAATCCTAATTTTAACAAACTATGTGAGAGCTTCCTAACTAATAGCAAAAAGAACAAATTAAAGTCAAATAATAAAGGGCTAAAGGAGCACAAATCTTAAAAATAACCAGTATCTAAAATTGTAGTCAATGTCTTTAAAAACTTCAAACCTTTAAAACCTTTCTGGAAGCCTGGAATAGTTAAAAAAAAAAAAATCTGTAGTCAGTTTGGATTTAAAATAATACAGAGTTTCAGAAAAATCTCCATTTCAGAAGGCCTTCACACATAAGCCCCCCTTCTCCCCTTGCTGGTAACTATACTTTATCTCTATACTTATCTCTATATCTGGGAGAGCACCTGGAAAACAACCTCCAAAAATGATCTTAGCTATGATATGCATTATTCTCTTCCTTGCAGGAACATTTTGCCGTTTTTCTTGAAGGATGCATGAAAGGAAATTCCTTATACAATCAGTTGGAATTTAACTACCGTGTCACAGAAGATGGAAGTTTTCCGTTTACAGCAAAGATCATATATGGAAATCCCATGAATGCCCTCCCAACCAAGGTCACTGTTGTATGTAAAGGTGAGAAGTAATGGGTTGTATTTGACAAAGGAAGAGATTATTAAAGTGAAGAATCCTTTGAGTTCAACTCAGTTCTTGGTGACTTAAATATCAGCCTTATGATCTCTTAAGTTACCTCTTTCCGCTATGTATTCAAAATGGACAGTGATATATGTGTGTGTGTGTGTATGTATATGGGCAGATATATATATATGTATGTATATAGCATGTGTATATGTGTGTTAGGTATGTGTTTGGGTAGATATACACTTTCTCTTGAGAGCAAACAACAGGATTTCATTTTTAAGTGTGCCAGTGTGCTCAAAGTAAAAAAAGAATGACAATAAAATTATCTAATATGAGACTTATAGTTACAAGCAGGTCGGAAGCAGTAGTTAATGGAAAATGCAGTAGCCTGTTTATTGGTTGATAAGAGCTGCTGCAAGCCATGAGCCCTACACTCGATACCGCCAGCAGTGGGAGTGTAGTTTAAAGTGCTATATTTTTTAAACCTATAAACATTCATATGGCTGGGGGATGTTAACATCACTCCTTTGTCATGTCCTCAACCCAGGAGAGGTCTGTAACTATCCCCCATTGCAAGGAGGTGAGGCCTATTCAATCAGTCCACACCAGGCAATTGATGGAGCCACTAGGGTTTCAGGGGAGGTTGGAGATTATTCCTGATGTTCTAACTGCTGAGATCTTGGTTGTGGCTTAGAATAAGTGATGACTTGGATCAGACCAGATCACACATATGTGGACTCTATGGGTCCTATGGAGCTTACAGAGCAGCTCTTGGACTTGTGGCAGTAAAAGCAGCAAAGAATATTATATCCACAGATAGCCAGCCAATGCCCCCATTTCGGGTGACCGGGTCTGCTGTGATAATTATTCTAGGTATCGGTTGGATAAAGTTGCTGGGTTTCACTCTCAATTGGATTCTGGCTTGGGAGGTCTTATGGAAGTGCTTGAGGCACATCTTAGCCCAATTTCTTGGGAAGAGGTTGAGCCAATCAGCAAAAGCTGATATCCTTGTCTTATTCCTTTCTGTATTTCACAGAGTTTAGTCCGGGGGTTAGCAACCTTAAACACTCAAAGAGCCACAAAGGTCCTAACCAGAAGCACCCTGTTCAATTCTGGAGTCAACCGGAAGTCCGGTTCCCCCACCATAGAGTCTCTTAGCGCAGCGTCCTTTTTCCTCTGCCAACCAGAAGTCCGGTTCCCCCACCATAGAGTCTCCTCCTAGCACGGCGTCCTTTTTCCTCTACCTGTCCTGTCCGAAAGCCCTATCAATTGTGGCAAGAAGGAGCCACAGCAGAGGGATGAAAGAGCCACATGCGTCTCCAGAGCCGTGGGTTGCTGGCCTCTGGTTTAGTCAATACCCCATTAACGATAATTGTTGTACCCTTTGTGAAGCATATATTGATTTCAACTGTGTAATGAAATTTTCCCCAATATACGTATCTTCTAGAATTTTGAACAGAAATATTTGGTTCAGGTTATCAAATGGTTTCTAAGTATATTGTAGAGTTCCCACTTATAAATAGATGTCTCTATACATCTATCAGTTCAAAACTGCCAAGGTAAATTCTTGTCCCAAATTCTTAAAAATCAGCTTGTTTGTTTTCAATAAATTTCATCCCTCAGTTTTATTCTTGATATCAAACAGAATTCCTTCTAATTTTGCAATATGTGATCCAGTCCTTTACAGGGACATGTATTTAATTCAAAATAATTCAGATGTATTAGCGGTACCTATTTATGGGGGTACCCAATTAGAGGTACATATTTTGTTTCAGTATATAACTTCTCCTCTACTGTGGGGGTTCAAAGACTTCAACTGAAAAAAAAATCATCCACCACCCAGAAAGATTAGAACTGGAGTGAAATAAATGCAAATTTTTCATACTGCAACTGCTTGTCTTCTTTTTTCCTTCAGCAAAAGATGCACCAGTTTCTGTGGACGAGATGGCAGCAGCTCATTTGGCTTTGTTCTATGAGAAGCCTCTTCAAGATGTCTTTATTTCTATCACAGCCTCAGTTGAAAATCTGAATCAACCTATTGCAGCCACCTCATCTTCCTATTCTAGTGTTCCCTCTGAGGTTGCTGCATTGTAAATTCCACTAAGGTAGGAAGATGAAGAAGGATCTCACAGTAACAGATATGGTTCTTACCCAGAAAATATATACTTTTGATGGAGAGTTGTTTAGTTTATTTTAGTTTAAAAATAAAACTACTTCAGAATGCTGAAATACCATTAGCAACCTGAAGGATGATAGAGCATGTTCCAGTAAAAACCTGGCAGATAATATCCTTTAGCTCAGTCTTTTTTCAAGTAAATACAAGATAGATTGGTCACATTTTCATTTTTAATTTACATGCTGTAGTCTCTGAAGTATTTACTACTTTCCTATGGAAATGTAGCTCATTTCCTTTTCCCATGAAAGGGACCAGAAACTTGTCCTTGTGGCAATATTTACGTTACAACTATCTGCTTTGCTTAGTTTTGATGTTGAAATTCTGATTCTGCAGATTTCAATGGTAAAAAAGCAGTTTCTTGTATGTTTTATTAGATAATAGCAATAGCACTTAGACTTATATACCACTTCACAGTTTTTTGCAGCCCTCTCTAAGCGGTTTACAGAGTCAGCATATTGCCCCCAACAATCTGGGTCCTCATTTTACCGACCTTGGAAGGATGGAAGGCTGAGTCAACCTGAGTTGCTGACTGACTGCTGACTGTTGTCAGTCAGAAGAATTAGCCTGCAATACTGCACTCTGATCACTGCACCATCACGGCTCTAATTTGCCTAGAATGATTGAATGTCACCTCTGGAATAGCTGTCTGATGCAAAAGCAATTAGGCCTTCATAGGGAATATTTAATACAGGTAGTCCTCGACATACAACAGTTCATTTAGTAACTGTTTGAAGTTACTACGTCACTGAAAAGAGTGGCTTATGACTGTTTTTCAGACTTACAACCATTACAGCATCCCCAGGGCCATGTGATCAAAATTTGGATGCTTGGCAACTGGTTCATATTTATGACGGTTGGAGTGTCCCTGGATCATGTGATTACTTTTTGGGGCCTTCCGACAAGTAAAGTCCATGGGGAAAGCCAGATTCACATAAAAACCATATTACTAACTTAACCGCTGCAATGATTCCCTTAACCGATTCCCTCGGCCCGATATAGCCAGCTGACACCATCGCTGGCTATTGGGGATGAGATCTTGCCCCCCTCAGAGAGGGCTTGCAACTTGGGCATCCTCCTGGATTCATGGCTGTCTTTGGAGGATCATATGACGGCCGTGGCCAGGGGGGCTTTTTATCAGGTTCGCCTGACTTCCCAGTTGCGTCCCTTTCTGGACCAGGACGCCCTGCGCACAGTCACTCACGCCCTTGTCACTTCCTGGCTGGACTATTGTAATGCTCTCTACATGGGGCTCCCCTTGAGGAGCACCCGGAGGCTCCAGCTGGTCCAGAAGGCAGCCGCGCGAGTAATAATGGGGGGCGACTCGTCGCTCCCATATAACACCCATCTTGCACGAGCTGCACTGGCTCCCGGTGGTCTTCCGGGTGCGCTTCAAGGTGTTGGTTACCACCTTTAAAGTGCTCTATGTCTTAGGACCTGGTTACCTACAGGACCGCATTCTGCCACCGATTGCCTCCCACCGACCAACACGCTCCCACAGAGAGGGCCTCCTCAGGGTGCCGTCAGTCAAACAGTGTAGGCTGGCGACCCCCAGGGGGAGAGCCTTCTCTGTGGGGGCCCCGGCCCTATGGAATGAACTGGCCCCAGACGTACGAAGGATCCCCGACCTCCGTGCCTTCCATCGCGCTCTGAAGACCCTATTATTCCAGCAAGCTGGTCTGACAGGATAAAGGTTTTTTAAATTGGGTTTTGATAGGGGTTTTAAAATGATTTTAGTTGGATATTTTAAATTTGGCCGAATGATTGAATTATTTTAATAAGCTTTTAATTTTTGTTGTATATTGTTTTTACCATGGCTGTTCACCGCCCTGAGTCCCTCGGGAGAAGGGCGGTATATAAATATAATAAACTAACTAACTAATTAACAACTGTGGCAAGAAAGGTCTTTAAATGGGGCAAAATTCACTTACAATTGTTTCCCTTAGCAACCAAAATTTTGAGCTCAACTGTAGTAAACCGAGGACTACCTGTGTAGGCTTTGTGTTTATTAAATGAGTTTATTAGAATATACACTATGTGTGTATTCAAAGACAAATTACATATAGGTAGTCTCAACTTACAACCCTTCGTTCAGTGACCATTTGAAGTTACAATGGCATTGGAAAAAGTGATTTATGACCAGTTTTCACACCTAACCACCACTGCAGCATCCCCATAATCACATGATCAAAATTCAAGCACGTAGCAACTGCCATGTATGACATTTGCATTATTCCACAATCATTTGATCACCATTTGTAACCTTCCTGGCCAGTTTCTGACAAGCAAAGTCAAGGGAGGGAGCCAGATTCACTTAACTGTGGTGATTGGCTTAACAATTGTGGCCAAAAGATCGTAAAATGAGGCAAAACTCACTTAACAACTGCATTGGTTAGCAATGGAAATTTTAGGTTCAGTTGTGGTTGTATGTCCAGGACTACCTATACATATACAGCAAGTATTATGAAAGCAAAGTTAAAATGATCATAGGGAAATAGACGGACCAGAGACTTTGAAATAAGACCAAGGACTGCAAAATAGCCAGTCTGCTTTGCATCCTGTCCCACCCAAGGCCCTTAGTAGTATGAATACATTATTTAATTCTGCCCACCTCATCTCACCTTATGATGACTTTTGTTCTCCAGCATGAACACCATCTATTTTAAAAACATGTCTTACATTTTTTTAAAACTGTAGATATAATAGTATTCAAAGACCCTCATTTTTTAGGCTTGTCCTGCTTCCATCACAACTCTCCTTACTTGATTCTGGCCAAGCTCTGCAAAGGGGCATAGGACAGTATGTCTACCTTATCTGTGTGAAAGGAGAAATTATATGTGGAATTATACACGTATCTGATTTAGTAGGATTATCTGTATGGATTAAGATTTTGTATATATGAAAACGCTGCAAAAAGATGAAGTTGGTCCTCTGGCACATTTGTATCAGTCTTTCACTCAAAGCTCCCAAAACAGATTACACATTACAGAAATGAGGAAAGCTGTACTCAGTTTTGGCTGTGATATCACATTTTCATAAATTAAATGTAGATTAAATGGGGAAATGATATAACATTTCCTTTATATATTCTATATTTGGACATGTTTTATTTATTGTGCAATATGATTTTTAAAAAAGTACTAATCTGTACGGTAGTAAATGTAAAAAGCTAACTAGTAATCAGGGTTTGTGGTTCTTAACAGAGCAGCCCTCCTTACCATGCAGCCCCTCCCACATAAGCCTCCCAGCATAGCCTTTGCTGATTTGGGATTCATCGTTAAGACACAAGTCCTCAGTGTTTAGCAATACAAAATTTGCTCTTTGGTTTATGTTTAAATCAGACAAAAATGGTGCATCAACAGACTAGTTATCCTCTCTTGACTTATTATAGTTAAATATTCCAATAGCACAATGGCACTCTTAGACATCACTCTGAAAATCAGAAATCATTTCTTCTAATAAGGTAATTTAGTATTCAGCCCAAACATGCAGAATTCCCTTTAGTTGTGAATGACACAACTCCTTTTTCTCCCCCAAAGAAAACAAGAGACAGCGATTTTAAAATCAAACTGAATCTATTTCAGAAACTAAACAAATTACATAATTTTTATTTCAACATAACAATCAGATGAAGGCTTTTAATAAAACAGCCTCGGTTCAGGCTGTATAAATCTCTTCCTTTTAAAGCATCAGCAAAGATGAGGGCAGAAAAGGAAGCAAGGCACAACCTGAAAGAGGCACCTTACTTTCACAATTAAGATGCATTAAAAATATAAAGATATCTGTTTTATATATATACACACACACACACACATTCATATACTTGAATTATCTCTTTCCCTTTCCCTCTCCAAAATAGAGCATCTTGTCACAGTGAAAAGACAGATCCCATGTGTTTTTTTTTTCCTTTCTGCTATATGCCTGTTTTGAGGCAATTATTAACTCCATTTGAACCAAGTGGGTCAGGTGTGAACTTTATGCAGTGCTCCCAGTTCATCTGCCCATTTGTAGTACCCATTCTGAACTTGCATTTGTTTTTACAAAGAAGTCTATGCAGAGCTTGGATCAATGGAAAATCAAAACCACTGCACATTTGAACTAAAAAGATAATGCAATCAAAGTGATCTAGCCAAGCAAGGCTGCGGTGAGAATTCTATTACCTCCAGGCCTGAATGTGCAAGAAGCCACATATTTGTGCAAAAGGCAGGGTTCTTCCTATTGAAACCTCCTTTCTACTGCCCTTTCTATATCAAGAGACAAATGCAAACTGATGGCAAGGGAGCCCCTTTACAAATAATAAATGTTCAAGAAGAAAGGAACAAGCAAAGGGGTGATTTCCTGTAAATCTATCAGTGGTGTATATATCAATCTCCCATCCAGAGCAGCAAGTGCTGAAAGCAGTTTGTCTTTGGGCATTACAGAGGTACCTGCTTTTTTTCTGCTATCTGCATGTAAAGTGTGAGAACTTCAAGAACTGTCAACCACCTGATGAGGCAAAGTCACACATGAACCATTGATAAAGGAATCTTGCTTCTCACGTCCTTTCATAAAATAGGTCAGCAAGTCACCTTTGCCTTTGACATAAATGTGCCCTCGACGCACAAAGCGGAAGCCATACTCTTTCAAGATAAAGTGAGTTTCTTCCACCACCTAAAAAGGGTGAGAGAATACACAGATATAGTCAAACTGGTTGAAGCTAAAGCTTATCAACCAAATGTTTATTTTTAAACTGTTTTGGGTTTTGTGTCAATATCTTACCCACCTTTTTAACTGACCCAAAAGAAGTAAGCTAAAAGGCTGTGCTATTTTGTGGAATGAGGATGTGTCAAGCCTCATCAAAATGAAAATAAATGCAGATGTAGAATTCTACAGAGATCCATAAATACCTTTTATTTATTGCAGCATAAAACCAGGAAAATGTACTCTAAGAATATATGGTTCTATTAAGTTACGTTTCATCACTTTGGAAATTCGTTACTTACCTGAAATCACTTCCTGATTTTCAGGAGGCAAGAGTATATAAGCAAAGAGCAATCATTAAATTATTAAATACCTTTTCTTTTACTTGGGACTTTGTTATAATGCTGCACAACTGACTAACACTGCCATTTTAAAGAGAGGAGCCTCCTCTTTTTTTTAAATAGTCTTCAATCTATCTTTTGGAGAACCTTGGAGTTCCTTATCTGTTTAAAAGCAGTTTCTGATGGTCGATAATGGCAGGCAAGGGTCTGTGGGAAGTCAGTTCCCTCACCATTATAATAATTAGCAATAGCACTTAGACTTCTATGCTGCTTCACAGTGCTTTTGCAGCCTTCTCTAAGCGGTTTACAAAGTCAGCATATTGCCCCCAACAATCTGAGTCTTCATTTTACCCACCTGGAAGGATGGAAGGCTGAGTCAACCTTGAGCCTGGTGAGACTCGAACTGCCAAATTGCAGTCAGCTGGCAGTCAGCAGAAGTAGCCTGCAGTACTGCACTCTAACCACTGCCACCACAGCTCTTCCTTATCCCTGGGTTCTCCAATTCTTCCTTATCTCTGGGTTCGCCAATTAAGTAACTTTGCCAATATATTCTGATCACCTTCAATCAGAATGACCAGTGCTTTGACTGCGAATTACAATGGTCCATTATATCTGGGTGAACCCAATTGATTGCTGCTGTGTCTTAAGAGCAAATTGTAATTAAGCCACCAAGTCTGCTGGCATTCTGTGTGACTGGAATATAATTCCTTTAAAATGCCCCCAGGTTCATTATCTGATAGACACAGACCTCTCGTTTTAATCTTCACTGAGGTGAACTGAGAGATCACTTTAGGTAAGTTTCTTGTATCTTTTGAGAGCATCCTAATATATAAGAAATAATGAGTTCATACAATGCTGCTATCATATTGAGCCCTACTGTCTCCATCTGGTCACAGTTTCTAACCTTTTCTGACCTTACTACACAGTAGTCATTAAAGTTGGCTTTAATGCAGTTAGAGTCAGAAATGTCTATACAGTTAACTGCCACCATTTTCAAAAACCTTCCTGTTGTTCCCATCAGAGCAGAAAAGTATCCCCACCTGTATATTTCCCATGACACCTGTGGACTCCATCCGGCTTGCCACATTCACAGTGTTCCCCCAAATATCATAGTGAGGTTTACGGGCACCAATCACCCCTGCTAGCACTGCTCCTTTATTCATGCCTGTCAGTACATTGTAACAAAAAGAGAAAATGAGAAACAAAAGCATCAAGTATTCAACAATACTTTTTGGTCTGTCTCAGAGCCAGAACACGACCACAAGTAGGGAAAACTAAAATCCCTGATGGATTTGAACAATGAAATCAGGACGCTATTTTTCACAGTACCCAGTCAAATATCTAGATTCGGGAGCCCAAACATATGAGTGCAGTAGCAATCTCCCCACTTCACTGTTGTTCATCAGGTATTAGTATTTAGAAAGAGAACATCTTGAAACATTTGGCTGATAGACTTTTCCTCCTCTTTTTCCTGTAGAGAGTCCATTAAAGCCATCTAAACCAACAGCTATTATCTGGTAATGTGTCTTGTGTAAGCATTCCCTTTCCCCTGGGTCTGATATTAATCAATTACAATGTTCCAGTGTAATGTGATTAGTCCCATCTAGTCCATATTTATCACGTAGGATACCCCACTTGCCTATTCGCAGCATGAAGTTATTGAAGGATTGATAGTTAATGTTCATCAAGGTCTCTTTCATGGCTAAGGCAAAGTCTGCAAGATCTGCCAAATGTTGCCAGCGCTCCTTTTCTGAAAGATCTTCCTTCTAGGAAAGGCAAAACACCAAAAGTAAAAAAAACAAAACAAAAACAAAAACAGAAGAGTAACACTTCTCCAGCTTTAAAGTCTACTACCAGCTACTCTGAGTAAGTCTAGATCCCAAGTCTCTTATACCTGTTAGACTTTGTTAAATGTATACACATATATTAAAACTCATTTCCTAATGACTTGCAAGGTTTTTGAGTCTGGGCTGTCTTATTTTGTCCATATTTTAAATTGTTTTAATTTTGTATTAGATTTTTTGTAGGCTGCCCAGAGTTTGTTGGAATGGGCAGTCATAACAAATTCAAACAAGTTATACCTGGTTATTAGGCTGTGGAGTCTATAGCTCTTTAGTTAGTTCTCAACATCACTTCCATTTTTCGATGAGTTTGGTTAGGTCTGCAGTGAGTTGTTATTCAGAAGAATCTGGAAGGGGCCGCGGTGGCTCACCTGGTAAGACGCTGGGCCTGCCCACCGCCTAGGTTGGCGGCTCGATTCCCATGAGCGAACAAACTGCATAGGGACAAGAAAGGAGCCTCCCCAGATTGCCTACCGGCATTAAGGTGTCCCACAGGTAAAGATAACACCGCCGCCTCGGTGATCCCTGGCTAACACGTGCCATACGCTAAGTAAATAAATCTGGAGGGTCACAGGTTCTCTACTTTTAAACTAGAGAGGCAATTAATTCCATATTAATCAAGGTACTACAGAAAAATTGTATACAGGTAGTGAATTCATCCTTGAGTGACGGGGTAGTTCTGTCTGTATTGGAGGCTGTGACAGTCTGCTCCTTCTCAAGGAATCACTGCTGAATTCAATAGTTCCGTATAACTTTGATCCTGTCGTCCATTCAATTTTGGAGAGAAGGTGGTTGGACTGTAGCTTCAGGTGGCCTTTGAAGCAGCAACCCTTTCCTGTGAGTAGTACTGAGGTAGCATTGATTGCAGTTAATTAGTGACTGAGATAGGGACCATTATAGGGAAAATGCATCCATCCTGGCCATTCTTGACTTCTTAACAGCTTTCAATACTTTATTAATTAATCATGGTATTTGGCAAGAGCAACGTATGGGGATAGAGTGCAAGGTATATTTTGTATGAGTTTTCTTCCTTCATGACCTGTTCTAGTCAGTGTTGGAGCAGAGGGAAATACTTTTTTTTTTTTAACATTAGGCCCTTACGTTAGGAGGTGTCACAAAAAGTTCAACATATTCTCTGTTTATCATCTACATAAAGCCTAAAGGGAGTCATCCAATAATAAAGAATTAGAAATCATTAAAACACTAATATTCATCTATACAGTTCAGTCCCTGATTGCACAATGATGTCTCGATTTTATGACCATTTTTATGATAATCATAAACAGGGGTGAAATGCTCCTGGTTCGGACCGGATCGT